TATAGTCCGGCCCTCCAATGGTCTGAGGGACAGTGAACTGGCCCCCTGTTTAAAAAGTTTGAGGACCCCTGGTCTAAGTACTAAAAGCCTGAGTACTAAAAAGGCTACCCTCCAACTTAGGAGCTCCTTAGATGGGGATCTAGCTGACTTTGGCTGGAAACAGAATTGTGGATTAGATCTTGAATAAAATGTAACTCTAAACAAGTATATGTGATATTTTCTAATATTTACAATTAGATGCAATTGTATCAAGTCTCTAGATTATTGTATCTGCTACTGCTAACAGTAGTATAGTTTGCTGCATCAGCAGAAAATAATTGTTTTAATTCTGTGTAGCCATCTAACAAACACATATGTTATACTCTTGAGGTATAACAAGATTAATGTAAATAGTAATACCTACATATATTTTAAAAAGGAGTATGATAGTTTAAACCAGTAATCTGACTTACATCATGCTCATGGGCCTGGAATACAAGACTTTTTTGTTTTTTGCCCCAGAATATTTAGAGTGCTATTATTACCTGATGACAAAGTAGTAACAGCTTCTGCTTTTTGAGTAGAAGCTGTATTCTGTTCTGTGGATTGCAAAGGAGGTTGGCTGCTACTGTCACTGACTTCTTTTGGTGTCTCATCTGCATTTATGTCTTCCTCTCCATAATCTTCTAATAGTAAACAATGGCTTGGAGCTTTTGAAGAGGGTTTTTCCCCTTCTACTTTTTCAATTTGGCTAAAAAAGTCTTTTGGCAGCCTAAAAAGGAGAGAGAAATAGTCTTTCAACATTTATTTGCAGTACAATACAAAATCAAAACACTGAAAGCCACAAAGCTGCTTCCAATAGGTTCCCTGTGGCTACCTCCATTTGATAAACTGCTTGTAATCAGGAGCTTACTCCGAGATATCATTTTCTCCAAAATGTTTGCTGCATCCAATTAATGAAACATATCAAACTTCTATTTGAAAATCACTTTCTCTGCAAAATGGCTCTGAATAGTATAAGCAAATGTCTTATCTATTTCCCTTATAAAAAAGGTAAGTCTAAAATGCCAAGTAACAAAATGTCCAACTTACCCAGAGGGGACAACTTGTACATGGTCTCCAGGATCTGAAAAAAAAGTCAGATATTTAACAAAATCACCACCAATATAAACTTCACACATGTCGGGATGCAATAGCTCATTAGGCACGCTGGACCATTCAAGTCAAATACATCCTTTAATAAGTGAACAGAACCTTTCAGTGCAGTTTCACACATTGTACAATCCATTACATTTGTAACCATAACTTCATTACATGATGTGTAACTATGTGTGAGGCTCACATATTTTTACAGGCACAGATGTCTTCAACACAACCCAAATACCAAAACAGCACAGACCACACAGTTCCACACCTTCTTCTTTTAATTTCTTCTCAAAATTTTGCACTGTTTTTTAAGCAATAAACAAACTCTCCCACATCATTACTTTATGGGTTCCAGGGCCAGAGAAGCAGATGGCCTGCCTCAGGGGAGTGTGCTTGCTCCATCCATCTTCAACATTTACACAAATGACCAGCCACTGCCAGAAGGGACAGAGAGTTTCATCTATGCTGATGATCGTGCCATTACTGCTCAAGCAGGGAGCTTTGAGACGGTTAAACAGAAGCTCTCCGAAGGTCTAGGTGCCCTTACTGCCTACTACAGGGAAAACGAGCTGATCCCTAATCCATCTAAAACACAGACATGTGCTTTTCACCTTAAGAACAGACAAGCATCCCAAGCTCTGAGGATCACCTGGGAAGGAATACCACTGGAGCATTGCAGCGCACCCAAATACCTGGGAGTCACTCTGGACCATGCCCTGACCTATAAGAAGCACTGCCTGAATATCAAGCAAAAAGTGGGTGCTAGAAACAATATCATACGAAAGCTGACTGGCACAACCTGGGATCACAACCAGACACAGTGAAGACATGTACCCTTGCGCTATGCTACACATCTCACCACACTAAAACAGTGGATGTGGCTCTTAATGAGACATGCCACATTATCATGAGGTGTCTGTACCCTACACCACTGGAGAAATTACACTGTTTAGCCAGTATTGTACCACCTGACATCCGCTGGGAAGTAGCAGCCAATAGTGAAAGGACCAAGGCAGCGACATCTCCAGTTCATCCCCTGTTTGGGTATCAGCCAGCACGTCAACGACTTAAATCAAGAAATAGTTTTCTAAGATCTACAGAGACACTCACTGGAATACCCCAGAAAGCGAGAGTCCAAAAATGGAAGGCTCAAACCCAGAACCTCAATCAATGGCTGATACCAAATGAGAGACTCCCCCCTGGTCACACAGCAAACTGGGCGACTTGGAAAGTGCTGAACAGACTGCGCTCTGGCTCCACAAGATGCAGAGCCAATCTTAAGAAATGGGGCTATAAAGTGGAATCCATGACATGCGAGTGTGGAGAAGAGCAAACCACTGACCATCTGCTGCAATGCAACCTGAGCCCTGCCATATGCACAATGGAGGACCTTCTTGCGGCAACACCAGAGGCACTCCAAGTGGTCAGATACTGGTCAAAGGACATTTAATCAACTACCAAGCTTGCAAACTTTGTGTTTTGTCTGTTTGTTTTGTTAAAAATGTAATACAACTGTCTGGTTGCTCCTGACACGATAAATATAAAAAATAACTTTATGAGTCCCTGTGACTGGTTTTCAAAATGTTCAAGATCCTCATCAAGCAATCGCTTACTCAAAGTGTTTTTGATTTTTCTTTTATAATAGGTTTTAACCTTGCTGGGTATATTTTGAATCACTATTTTGTTAGCTCTTCATATCTTAAAGATACTGTAACACCAAAAAGCCCCAACCAAACAAGGTGTTTTAAAGCAAATGACTGAAGCTTATGAAGTCTATAGATGATGTGTGAAACATATAACCCATAATTAATTGATAATTACTTTAAAAAGTAATTCATAATTACTTTAAAGATACACAAGCACTGTAAACAATCACAAATAGATTAATAGTAAATCTCAACTCTATAAATAACCACAAACCATAATTTTTCTGGGACACACTCTGAAAAGTTTCTGCTAATGTAACCTCCTCAGCTAAAACAGTTTAGCGGTATATGATAGTTAAGCACATATTCCACATGGATACATTATTGCTCTTAGTGACTGGTTATGTGACTATAGCATCTGAATATATGTATTCCTTTTTTCATCAAAAATGACAAAGCTATTGCATATATTACTTAAATTCTATGGCTTTCCTAGCCTCAATTTGGCAAATGATTCATTCTTTCATGAATGACTTGAAATCATCAATATGCTAGCTCATAGAAGGAATTTAAAGTGTAACAGCAATGGCATTAGGAATATGTATGAAAAACTAGTGGTCTTCACCTATATGAGTATTCACAAAGACTATTGTAGACCTTATACTGACAATTCCAGAAACAGACACAAACAACTAACTGGGATTTTTCTTGTTTCTAGCAGGTAGTAAGCTGATTTCCAACTATCCTATGTGCCATCCATGTTAATGCTTCTCAAACAGTATTTAAGTTTACATCATATGATTCAAAAATTCAAAATGCTTTCTTTCCTTGACCCCACTCACCACTGAATGGGGGAGGAAAGAGCCACAGAAAAATTACACTTTTGTTTTCACACCTTTTGCTTTCTTCCATTCTGGAGATTCTGTACTTGTAGTTTTCCTTTTGAGAGAAGATGAGGTGTTTGGAATGGGTCCAGCTACTGATTGTTTAAGACCTTTCACCTGTTCGAGTTTCTAAGGAAAAGAATTAAAACCAACAGATCAATGTATTATAACTACACAAAAGAAATAAAGGGTATGTTACAAAGTAGCACATTTTTCACAAATAAATACCACTGGCAAGATTATGAGCAAACATAATTGAAGGAAGGAAGCCTGGATGAACAAGAAAGCTGACATTTTCCAATATCAAGAATTCTAACCATAAAATTTGAGAGACTAAATTATGACCTTATTCAAATCTTACATACACAATATTGTTCAAGTTCAGGTTTCTGTACCTGTCAGACCATAAACTTGGGGGCTGACCTTTTTTCAAATAAAAGGAACTACAGACAGTCCCCAAAATACGAACAAAATAGGTTCTGAAGCTTTGTTCTTAAATTGAATTTCTCTGTTAGTCAGAACAGATACATTTTTAAAGTGTAACTCTATCTATCTAAGCTTTGGATACCATAGGGAAGGGTTAATACCCCTGTGGTGTTTATTTTGCTATCTGTGCCCCTGTTCAGAAGATTTCACCTCACTTTCTGTCCTTCTGATCATTGAATTTTGAAAAAAATTGGCTTGTTGTGGAAACAAGGATTGGTAATAAAGTTTCAGTGGAGACCCCTTTCCCCAAAACAACTCTTCCAGGAGTGAATTTCCCTTCCTAGGGATTTCTCTCACTTCCTGTTTTGTTTCACCCCCGTTTTAAACTATGAGACTTTTGTAAATTGGATGTTTGTAACTCAGGGACTGCCTGTATTAAAGTAGGTAATCCATATAAGAAAGTTAACAATGTCTTTAATTGAGGTTTAGTTGTGTTTAGAGTTGTGTGACTTAAGGTACTTTAACCTCAGTTCCAAGGATTTCAAACTGTCCTTAGAATGATTTTTAAAAACCCTAAAATCCTATGCATAAAACAACAGTTACCATTTGTATAACACAATACATAAAGCTGAGTAAGAATATACAGTCACAAAATATCAGACAAGTCCCTTACCTCCTTATGCTGCTTCCCAAGAACATGTGTTTGCCACAACAGTTCACTCTTCACAGACGTATTGCACAGAGAGCAGCTGAGGTTCCCTAAACTGTTATATGTAGGATTTAAAAGTTAAGGAAACAAACACGAAAATACTCTAGCTCTCAAAGCTGTGATTTTGGGCAACATTATTGTTTGAGCACCACTTTGTGCAAAAACACAAGATGTTATTCAGAAATTTTATAATTATCAGTCTAAACTGAGTTAGCACTGCATCAATGGGATTTACCTACATGTTGACTCTCAACTCAGTAACTGAATAGGTTTTCTCTAATTGGGAATAACCAATGGTTTACCAGCTTAAAACTACAACAAATATAGCTTAAGATGCAAGAGGTTTTCCGTTATTGCAGTTCCAAAGACCTATATGATTCAAGAAATAAAGCTTCGTAACTATCATTGCTACGTAATAATTCCTTCTTTTAAAAAAGCAAATTATTGTTTTGTTTTGAAATAAAAATTAGAAGCCTCAAAACTGTATGCTGCTAGAAAGACCAAGCTGTTCACCTAATTAGAAAACACAGTTTTTTTGAGTGGATTTCTGAGTTTAATGCAGATGAAGTAAAGAAGAGTGGCATATTTGTGAAACATCAATTGAAGATACGCACACAATATTACTGTTGTGTATCTTCAAGTTGTTTCTGATAATCCATGTCTATAGCATTTCCAATTTCTATGCATCATTTTGAAAGCCAGACAGTGAAAAACAACTGAAGGGGCGGGGGGGGGGGGGGAGCCAATTCATTAAAAATGTGGCGTTGGAGGATAACTTGGCCTGTAATGGGTCTGAGAGGAAAAGTGGAGTTTGTTTGCAAAAGGTACCAAATTCAAGAAAATTGAAAAATGAGTTATAAGTGGCACCACATTATTTGGCTATGAGTAGAATATTGTGTACAGATCACAACCATCAAATTGTGGTACAGGGCTTGGAAAACTGTATTTTCTAACAAAAGAATGCATATTCTCAGCACTTTTTTCAATTCCTATAAAAATTGTTCAGATGGATTTGGTACCTTTTGGAAACAATATGTTTTGGACATTTGAGACAACATGGTTCACTGTAAAAGGTGCAAATGCTGGGAAAAGCGGAAGGCGACAGAAAAGAGGAAGGCCACACAGCAAGTGGAAAGACGCAACTGAGGAAACCAACAGGGTTTTTAACAACAGAGTATCTTAGAGATCTCTCATCTGTAGGGTCATGACAGCAGTTGACAACAACATCTCAAGGGGTAGACAGGAAAGGCCAATGCCATTGACTGGCAAAGGGAGGCATCTCCTCTTCATTCGCCCACAGTCCTTTAGTACAACCTTCTCCAAAGTGCCAAGTCATGCACCTGAAGCCAAAGGGCTCAGGAGGTGCAGCCCAGTTGCATTTAGATTACTCTGGTCAATACACATTTTGGGGCCACAAATGTTTCTGAGTACATTTGACCTGCTGATTCCCAAAATGGTACCAGTTTCCCCCATCAGCTCAAGTTTTTGAGATAAAGGACATATGGCATCTGGGCAACTAAAAGGATCAAAGGTCTGGAGGACAATATCCTATGAGGAGTGCCTTAAAGAGCTTGGTCTGTTTAGCCTGCAGAAGAGAAGGTTGAGAGGAGACATGATAGCCATGAATAAATATGTAAAACAATGTCATAAGGAAGAGGGAACAGGCTTGTTTTCTGCAGCTTTGGAAACTAATAATAATAATAAAACTTTATTTATACCCCGCCACCATCTCCTCCAACGGGGACTCGGGGCGGCTTACACGAGGCCAAGCCCAAACAGTAAATTACAATAAAATAAAATCCAAAACACAAGCAACAACACAGTAAAATACATAAAACATATGAATACAATAAATAGGCAATATACAAATACACTATCCACAATCACAATGACAATGAGCGGGCCGCATGTGCAAGATAAAATGTTAAAACTCAGGATGAGATAAAAGAGGAGCAGATTTGTGAGGGAGAGCTCATAAAGAAACAGGGTTGTAAAGGCCTTCATAGAAGGGGGGAAGTGTACTCCAGGGACAATAACGCTGAGGGGAGCAATAGTGTAGTCCAAAAGCGCAATGGAAGAGTCAGGTTGTAAGATTCTTTTTAAAGGTTTCTAAGGTGGGGGCTTTCCTAATCTCTCCGGGCAATGAGTTCCATGTTATAAGGAAAAGGGAGCAGGCTTGTTTTCTGCTGACCTTGAAACTAGGATCCAAAGCAATGGATTCCAATTACAGGAGAGGAGATTCCACCTGAACATTAGGAAGAACTTTCTGACTGTAAGAGCTCTTCAGCAATTGAACTCTTTGCCTCGGAGTGTAATGGATGCTCCTTCCTTGGAAGCTTTTAAACAAGAGGCTGGATGGCCATCTGTCATGGGTACTTTGATTGTGCTTTGGGGGTTGGATTACATGGCTCACGTGGTCTCTTCCGCTCTAATATTCTATGCTCATCCACTGAAAACCATGATAGCTGTATCTAAAGGAGCTAGAGAAGATTTAGTATATTCAATGCAAATTTCTGACACGGCACCCAAATAACCCCAGGGACAGTCCTAAAGCTTGACACTGAGAAATACTTGTTGTTTGGAAACTCCTTCAGAGAAAACAAAGCTTTCTATGTAGTTTTACCAAAATGTCTCAGGAAGCCTTTTCTTACAAGGCACCTTACCTATAGGATGCCCTAGAGCAGGCCTCCCAAGTGTTTTGGACTTCAACTCCCACAATTCCTAACAGCCTACTGTGAGAGCTCCTCCATGATGACATGATGGCAACAGTCCCAAAGTGACCCATTTAAGATGGAATCAGGTGTCAAACAGAGATGTGTTATTGCCCCAACTTTATTCTCCATCTTCATCGCTATGATACTTCACCTTGTTGACGGGAAGCTTCCCGTCGGATTGGAAATCATCTATCGGACAGATGGCAAGCTATTCAACCTCAGCAGACTGAAAGCCAAAACCAAGGTTACAACAACATCTGTTATAGAACTCCAGTATGCTTATGACAACATCATCTGTGCGCATTCAGAAGAAGACCTGCAAGTCACTCTAAACACCTTCACAGAAGCATACGAGCTCGGCCTGTCATTAAACATTGAGAAAACCAAAGTGCTCTTCTAGCAGTCACCGGCTAATCCCTCTCCAATGCCAGAAATACAGATTAATGGTGTAACATTAGAAAATGTTGACCATTTCTGCTACCTTGGCAGCCACCTCTTCATAAAAGTCAACATTGACACCGAAATTCAACACTGCCTGAGCTCTGCGAGTGCAGCATTTTTCCGAATGAAGCAGAGAGTGTTTGAGGACCGGGACATCCATAGGGATACCAAGGTGCTTGTCTATGAAGCTATTGTCCTCCCAACCCTGCTATCCGCCTGCGAGACGTGGACAGTCTACAGATGTCACATGCAGCTCCTGGAGTGATTCCATCAGCGCTGCCTCCGAAAAATCCTGCAAATCTCTTGGGAAGACAATCGGACAAACATCAGCGTGCTGGAAGAAGCAAAGACCACCAGCATTAAAGCGATGGTCCTCTGCCATCAACTCCGCTGGACTGGCCATGTTGTCCGGATGCCCAACCGCCATCTCCCAAAGCAGTTGCTGTACTCTGAACTCAAGAACGGAAAACGGAATGTTGGTGGGCAGGAAAAGAGATTTAAAGATGGGCTCAAAGCCAACCTTAAAAACTCTGGCATAGACACTGAATCATAGAATCATAGAATCAAAGAGTTGGAAGAGACCTCATGGGCCATCCAGTCCAACCCCCTGCCAAGAAGCAGGAATATTGCATTCAAATCACCCGACAGATGGCTATCCAGCCTCTGTTTAAAAGCTTCCAAAGAAGGAGCCTCCACCACACTCCGGGGCAGAGAGTTCCACTGCTGAACGGCTCTCACAGTCAGGAAGTTCTTCCTCATGTTCAGAGGGAATCTCCTCTCTTGTAGTTTGAAGCCATTGTTCCGCGTCCTAGTCTCCAAGGAAGCAGAAAACAAGCTTGAACTAATGGCCATTGTACACCACACTCTGCACTTAATTTATAATCCTACATACCCCCTGCCACATCAGCACTTTTAATCCTGTACCCATCACTCTGGCCTGACCCAGTTTTATATTGTTTCTGATGTCTTTATGTATTGTTATTGTTGTTGTTTTATTTTTGCTTAATCTGTTTTAATTTGCTCTATGTATTGTATTGTTGTATTGTGTTGAGGCCTTGACCTATGTAAGCCGCATCGAGTCCTGCGGGAGATGTTAGCGGGGTACAAATAAAGTTATTATAATAATATAATAAAGCTTGCTCCCTCCTCCCTGTGGCTTCCTCTCACATATTTATACATGGCTATCATATCTCCTCTCAGCCTTCTCTTCTTCAGGCTAAACATGCCCAGCTCCTTAAGCCGCTCCTCATAGGGCTTGTTCTCCAGACCCTTGATCATTTTAGTCGCCCTCCTCTGGACACATCCCAGCTTGTCAATATCTCTCTTGAATTGTGGTGCCCAGAATTGGACACAATATTCCAGGTGTGGTCTAACCAGAGCAGAAGCCCTGGCCCTTGAGGGCTCCAGCTGGAGGTCAGATGTGACCAGCAGTGCTGCAGAATTTGAAGAGGCACGAATAGAGGGCGAAAGAGAGAAACATGCCAAGAGGAAGGCATGTCAAGCCAACTCCGACTGAGACCGCCTCCCATCTGAAAACCAATGCCCTCACTGTGGGAGAAGATGCAGACCAAGAATAGGGCTCCACGGCCACCTACGGATCCACCCCCAGGTTACCACTCTTGGAGGACCATCATCCTCGGACTACGAGGGACCGCGTAAGTAAGTAAAGTACTCTGAGAGCTGAGGTCCAAAACACCCGGAAGGGAGGGCCCAAGTCTGCCCTATAGGATGCCCCCCTTCCCTTCAGCGCCCTAGAATATAGTCCTCCAGAAGCGGAGGGCTCCAATTGGGACACTTTGGCCTTGTCGCCGCCCTAAACCCCCTTGCTCTGGGAAAGGGACGCGCAGGCGCCGCGCAGGATATCTGGCGAAGGGCGAGTCGACTTTCTTCTTCCCCGCCGCTGCCGCGGTCTCGCGCTGCTTGGCGCGCATCAGCCGGCGCAGCTCCTCCTGGCCCACCGCCGCCCCTCGGCCCCGCTTCTGCTGCTGCTGCTCCTGCCGCCCCCCCGCGCGCGACGGGGTTGCCATGGCGCCGCGGACGAATGGCCCTCTCCCACACACAGGGCGCGCGCAAACACCCCAGCGCTGCCGGTCGCGGGTGTTTTGCGTCACGGCCAAACAAAGCGCCCTCCGTGACATGTCTCCGCCCATAGCCTGTTGTTTCCCTGAGGGCTCCAGGAATTTTGGACTTCGACTCCCAGAATTCCTCGTCATTCTTCATAGCGGCTGGGGCTTCTGGGAGTTTGAGTTTTTTGAACTGGAGGGCTCGCGAAGGTAGTGACGGATGGGAAGGGACGATGGCGAATGCGTACAGGACTGGAGACTGAAACGTCTGGCTCCTGTTGACGCTGTTTGGTTCCCAGGGTGGCAGAGGGCACCCCAGTAATGGGAAACTCAGGCCCCTGCCACACAGCTGTATAAAATCCACATTGAACTGGGTTATATGGCAGTGTGGACACAGATCACCCAGTTCAAAGCAGATATTATGGATTATCTCTCTTTACAGGCCCGTAGCCAGGATTTCGTTTCGGGGGGGGGGGGCTAAAAAATTTTCAGGGGGGGTTTCGGGGGGGGGCTGAGTTTCAGGGGGGGCTGAGTCTGAGTGAAAGAGGGTCTAGCCTAGCAAACCTTTTGTATCATTACCCCAATACCCCCATACATATGGGATATATTGAGAATGGTGATCAAATCATGATATGAATAAACATAACAGTTTAAATAATGCACCAGTAAGGCCTTTTCGCGAACCACCATGAGAAATTTCGGGGGGGGGGGCTGAAGCCCCCCGAGGCCCCCCCCCCCCCCGGCTACATGCCTGTCTCTTTATATTCTGGGCTGTGGGGTAAAGGGCCCTCAGTATGGCCACGGTGGTCCATGCCTTAGTCACCTACAGTGGCCCTTATTTCTCATGCCAGTAAGGTAATGCTCAAGATCCTGCAAGGAAAACTCCAGCAATACATGGAGCGAGAGTTGCCAGATGTTCAAGCTGGGTTTAGAAAAGGCAGAGGAACGAGAGACCAGATTGCCAATATCCGCTGGATAATGGAGAAAGGCAGGGAGTTTCAGAAAAACATCTATTTCTGCTTCATTGACTATTCTAAAGCCTTTGACTGTGTGGATCATAATAAATTGTGGCAAGTTCTTGGACGGGATGGGCATCCCAAGCCACCTTGTCTCTCTCCTGAGGAATCTGTACAAGGACCAAGTAGCAACAGTCAGAACTGACCACGGAACAACAGACTGGTTCAAGATTGAGAAAGGCGTACGGCAAGGCTGCATCCTCTCACCCAACCTTTTTAACTTGTATGCAGAACACATCATGCGATGTGCGGGGCTTGATGAATGCAAAGCTGGGGTGAAAATTGCTGGAAGAAACATTAACAACCTCAGATATGCAGATGACACCACTCTGATGGCCGAAAGCGAGGAGGAGCTGAGGAGCCTTCTAATCAAGGTGAAAGAAGAAAGCGCAAAAGCTGGGTTGCAGCTAAACATCAAAAAAACCAAGATTATGGCAACAAGAATGATTGACAACTGGAAAATAGAGGGAGAAACCGTGGAGGCCGTGACAGACTTTGTATTTCTAGGTGCAAAGATTACGGCAGATGCAGACTGTGGCCAGGAAATCAGAAGACGCTTACTTCTTGGGAGGAGAGCAATGTCCAATCTCGATAAAATAGTAAAGAGTAGAGACATCAGACTGGCAACAAAGATCCGCCTAGTCAAAGCCATGGTATTCCCTGTAGTAACCTACGGATGTGAGAGCTGGACCTTAGGGAAGGCTGAGCGAAGGAAGATAGATGCTTTTGAGCTGTGGTGCTGGAGGAAAGTTCTGAGAGTGCCCTGGACTGCGAGAAGATCCAACCAGTCCATCCTCCAGGAAATAAAGCCCGACTGCTCATTGGAGGGAAGGATACTAGAGACAAAGTTGAAGTACTTTGGCCACATCATGAGGAGACAGCAAAGCCTAGAGAAGACAATTATGCTGGGGAAAGTGGAAGGCAAAAGGAAGAGGGGCCAACCAAGGGCAAGATGGATGGATGGCATCCTTGAAGTGACTGGACTGACCTTGAAGGAGCTGGGGGTGGTGACGGCCGACAGGGAGCTCTGGCGTGGCTGCTCCATGAGGTCATGAAGAGTCGGAGACGACTGAAACGAATGAACAACAACAACATCATTCTGGGCTGTGGGTTATAGGGCCCTCAGTATAGCCACGGTGGTCCATGCCTTAGTCACCTCCAGATTGGATTACTGTAATGCACTCTAGGTGGGGCTGCCCTTGAAAACGGCCTGGAAATTTCAGTTGCTACAATGGGCGACAGCCAGGTTATTAACTGGTGCTTCTACAGGGAGCGGTGAACCCTCCTGTTTAAGGAGCTCCACTGGCTGCCCTTTATTTTCCGGTCCCAATTCAAGGTGCAGGTAATTACCTACAAAGCCCTGAACAGTTTGGGACCTGCCTACCTGCGTGACCACATTTCTGTGTACGAACCCACACGATCTCTGATCATTTGGAGAGGTCCTGCTCTTCGCAGGTACGACTGGTCGGGACGAGGGACAGGACCGTCTCGGTGGTGGCCCCCCGACTCTGGAACTCGCTTCCCAAGGACATCAGACATGCCCCAACGCTGGCAATCTTTAGGAGGAGCCTGAAAACGTGGTTGTTCCAGTGTGCCTTCCCAGAATAAGAAAAACTCTTAGCAATATGCCCTCAAAATGCACTTTACCATTAATTTAGAATTGCCTGCACGCTCTCATCTTTCTTTGAAAACCCTATCCCAGTTATATCCTACCTTGTTCATGCCCAGCATTATTTTTTAAATTTTTAATTATTACATTTGGCCCGGCCATAGGTTTTTAAATGCTTGTGTGTTATTGTTTATTTTTTGTTTATGAGATTTATATTAACTGTTTTGTATTGATTATTTTGTTATTGCCTTTGTTTATTGATGTATTGTGGGCTTGGCCTCATGTAAGCCGCACCGAGTCCCTTGGGGAGATGGTAGCGGGGTATAAATAAAGTTTCATTATTATTATTGTTATTATTATTATTATTATGGCTGTGACTGAAACAAGCTTGTCCCCTCCTTACTGTGACATCTTTTCAAATAGTTAAACATGGCTATCATGTCTTATCTCAGCCTTCTCTTTTGTAGGTTAAATATACCCAGCTCTTTAAGAGTTTCTCATAGGGCTTGGCTTCCAAACCTCTGGTCATTTTGGCCGCCCTTCTCTGGATATGTTCTAGTTGTCAATAGCCTTCTTGAACTGTGGTTCACAGAACTGGACACAGTATTCCAGATATGGTCAGACCAAAGCAGAATAGAATGGGACTATTATTTCCTTTGATCTATCTAGACACTACTATTAATGCAACCTAGAACTGCATTGGCATTTTTAGCTGTTGCTTCACACTGTTCACTCATGTTCGCCTTGTGGTCTACTAAGACTCCTTGATCCCTTTCACAGAAAGCTTATGGTGCCCATAGAACTCTTCTCCAGTACATCTCAAATGAGTTGATATCACCCTTCTTCACTGTCGTTTTTACAAGTATACACAGAAATCGGAAATGCCATTGCATGAGCAATGTCTGATTCTTTCATAGCTGTTCTTCCAAATCTAGTCTTCTGATTTCTTGACTGCAGTCCCCATCATAATCAATGACGAAGCCAAGGTATGGAAATGTGAAACTATTTCAAGGACTTCATTAAACCTTAAAGTTTTTGTTTTCATAATATCTAACTTGAGTTTCTTCAGAAATCGTTTCAAGTCTTTGTTTTGTACTGCTGGTAATATAATGTTGCCTGTTGCTATTTATTTATCGTGTCAGGGGCAGACCAAACAGTTGCATTGCATTTTTAACAGACAAACAAACAAAACACAAAGCTTGCAAGCTTGGTAGTTGATTAAATGTCCTTTGATCATTAGCTGGCCACTTGGAGTGCCTCTGGTGTTGCTGCAAGAAGGTCCTCCATTGTGCATGTGGCAGGGCTCAGGTTGCATTGCAGCAGGTGGTCTGTAGTTTGCTCTTCTCCACACTTGCATGTCATGGATTCCACTTTGTAGCCCCATTTCTTAAGATTGGCTCTGCATCTCGTGGTGCCAGAGCGCAGTCTGTTCAGCGCCTTCCAAGTCGCCCAGTTTTCTGTGTGCCCAGGGGGGAGTCTCTCATTTGGTATCAGCCATTGGTTGAGGTTCTGGGTTTGAGCCTGCCACTTTTGGACTCTCGCTTGCTAAGGTGTTCCAGCGAGTGTCTCTGTAGATCTTAGAAAACTATTTCTTGATTTAAGTCATTGACGTGCTGGCTGATATCCAAACAGGGATGAGCTGCCTGTTGTTGATTTCCCTTTCTTCAATATTCACATTTCCTTTTCCCGAATCTATTCCTGCCTTAGGTATAATGTGTTCTGCTTATAAATTAAGCAGGGCGAGCTGTTCCTGATCCCCTTATCACTTGAAAACTGTTCCATTTCTCTGTAATAGTGGCCTCTTATCCTAAGTACATAAACAATGAAATTTATGGCACACCCATTTTGTCAAGAATGATCATAGTTTTTAATGATCTATAAAATCAAAGGCTCTGCTATATAAAACACCAAGCTAATTTTCTTCCGATATACTTTGGTGTGCTTCATTATGCTATTTATGTTTGTTTTTTACATTTCTTGTGCCATATATGGTAAGAGTCTTTCCTGTATAATTTTGAGTATTATTTTGCTTACATGAAAGATTAATGTAATGGTCAAATTATTCCTACTCTCCTGCTTTCATGAGAACTAAAATGTATATCAAATGTTTCTCATAAGTGGGCCATCCTTGACATATTTGTTGACAGATCACCTTAAAGGTGTTATGCATTTCCTCGTTGAAAGCAGTCTTCAACATGCAGCATTTGAGACCAGGCATTCTGCTTTAACTGCTAAACATACTTCTGTGGATGCATTTTCACCTATGTTAACATGCTAACATATGAATGTGCCCCCCCCCCTCATTCACATAAAGTAAAGTCTAAGTCCAAAAGTGCATAATCTTTTATCTCATGCTTAACTAAATCCAAATACACTAAAATATTGTAGTTCTCGTTATTTAATTTATAACTGTTTAATCTGAATAGTGTCATCTTGAAAAGGAGACGTATTAATAAGTGTAAGAAGATCAAGGGAAAAATTCACTAATTGGTTAAAATATATAATTTCTTATGATGTAATTCTGTTCTCTTTGGGAAAGCACCATCAAGGCTATAGTTCAGAATTCTCCATAATCAAATTTAGACTGTATCAAAAATATACAAGCCATAAGAAGAAGTAGACATTTTGTGTTTCATTAGCATAATTTTACATCTTCTGAAAGAAACCAGTTCCAGTGTGGAATTTATTCCTCAAAAAGATCTAAACATGTGTATCATAACATTCAGGTTCTGAAGAAAATTTCATGGTTAACTGTATATTTGCATTTTATAAGAGTGATTTGTTATATAAAAAAGAATAATTTTAAAATGTACCAAAGACCTTGACATTCTTGTTTTAATATGGGACTGGAACATCACAAAAGTTTAACAGAATAAACCTTGTGCTATTTAGCACTTTTTAAACAAAATTACTATCAGATGAACCTTCTAATTAAGAAAAGAAAAAAATAGCTGCCATTATTACAGAAATGTGGAAATCATGTCATGCATTTTAAAATCTATGTACTCTGATTATTGTGATAGTAATTGAGTATTCATCTAGCACCATGCTTTAAATAAATTACATTTTGCCCCCTCCCAAACCAAGCTGTTAAAAGATAGTCTGCCAACTCCTAACAGAAAGATTAAGCCATTTATTTCTCACCGAGTCCATTCATCATGAACATGGTCATTGCTTTATTTATTTATTTATTTATTAATAAATAAATAAATAATCATTGCTGGAAGTAAACTTTACCTAGGAAGAAAATATTGGACTTACTCTAAGAATTCTTTCTCTTTGGAGGTGTAGATTGCTGGGAAGAATTGCCTTATTTAAAGTAGATTTTGGACATATTAGGTAGCACTAATGTGTAGCTCTTCTATTTTCAAGGAAGAAATCCTTCCTATAAGAAAGTTGGTGTAGTTGAATTAATATTCTTTTTCAGGAGGTCAAGGAGGACCAATGCATAAACCAATGGAATGCTGTTATCGATATTACTAAACATATAACAGCTATATAACAAAGACGGACTCATATTAAAGTGGACTGCTACATTCTCTTTATGACTAGAAGAAAGAACATTAAGTGTGATGCAGAAGAAGGCAGACTTCAGGTTTACAGGAAAGTCCCTAAATGCTAGCTGATTCAAAAGGATGTATCCAGGGGGAAAATCCAATACTGCAAGCAAAGAATCTGCATATACAAATATAAATCTGCATCTTAGTCTTGTTTGGACCAAATGATTACTAGTTAAACAACTGGGAATTAGAGATTCTTATTGATCTAGTATAAATCTCTTGTTTTTTATGCATTCAAGGCATTTCGGACACATGGTAACTTAAGGCAAACCTATGGGGAGGGTGTTGCCTTTTCCTCCTGCTGAGGTTGAGAGAGTGTGACTTTCCTCAAAGTCATCCAGTAGGTTTCCATGGTCAGATGGGATTAAAATCCTGGTTTTCAAAGTTGCAGTCCAATACTCAAACTATTACATCCCACTGGCTTTCAGTGATTCCTAATAAATCTTGATACAACTTCTGCCTGTGATCTACCTGTTTTTTGCTGGTTTTTTTTTTTTGGGGGGGGGGCTTTCTATACTTGGGTGAAAAGTTGTGAATTGCACCCAGAATTAGTTCCATCTAAACTCACATTTTCCAGCAAGATTTCTTGAGCTGTATTTTAGATATGTGTGACAAGGTAAGCATCTTTTCAGCCAATGCATAAACCGTGCCCAATAACCAATTCAACACTAGATTCTACTGTAAAAAAGACTTCATCATTTTCTTAGGAAAGTGGAAAATAAGCAGGTGGAAAAATATGCTGCTTCTTGATTGTGATGGTGTTCTTAAAACACTACCAGTGGGTCATTTGCACAAAATAAAATAAAACCACTTTATCTCAATCTTGTGCCTAAAGCGGGGGGGGGGGGGGGGGACCTCTCCTTCCACATGTATTTGTGTGAAAAAATACACATTTTCTGCTATGTTTGAAGATATGGAGCTGGGTGGAGAATAGACTACACCTGCTATTTGCTTTTGTGCCCATTTTATTCTCATGATAGTGAGCTGTTACAGACCATATCTCAGTGTGACACTGAGATTTAAGGTTGAAAGGTAGAATGACTCTTGACAATTGATGCTTTTTTTGCTTGCTACTGTGCTGGATGGAAGCAATATACTACACATAGTCCTGGCACCAAAGTGCTCATCAACTACAGATTACAGAAGCAACTTGGTATTACATGTCTCTCACCTGCTATTTAGTATTTGGCTTCAAGCTGTATGCTGTTTTGTTCAAGAGCGGATACAGATGAACAATTTGGAAAGGATATAGTACTTGGATGAAAAATCACTACACCATTTGGCAGAGCCCAAGTATAATGCCAGCATTCGGTAGACATGACTTGGATCTTATAGGCCAAATATATGAATCGGGTAACTTGATCACATATTTTTTACCCTCCCACACAGTGCTTGGTGTAAAGAAAGAAGGAGCTGAATGAATGAAAGAAAAGGATGAAGAACAAATTGGGCCCAGAAAGTCTGAAGCAGGTTCTGAACTCCAAAAGGCCTGCTTTTTTACTTAAGACAGGGCACATATCAGGAAGATTTTTTTTGGCCATCAAAGAAAACAGGAAGTTGGATACAAAAATTACCCTCATTTTTGTGTCTTTACCTGCCCAAGAATACTGAATGTATACACAAAGATCACAGCAATATAATGATTCTCAGAGCTGAGTGATGTTCAGCCAGTAATTAAAAGTAGCTTTCAGTACATTCCTCTAAGTCTTCTGAAAGTAAGATTCAGAAGGCGTACAAGTACTTTACAATGTCAACATCAATTACTACTCTTAATGATTTATAAAGGAAAGCAACATTTAGGTAACATTTATGATCACACAAAGACATCCTTGACTATATTCAAGTAAAATTGCAGGATTGAGTCTTTCAAAACAAGGGCTGTAAGCAGAACATATGACAGTAAGCAAGCAACGGCTGACATGCAACAGCCTTACCAGAGTCTGCTTAAGATAAAATTTCGAACACTACACAAGTGCTCCAAAATGAAGAGCAATCTTTTCTTCTTGCTCACAGAGCAATTACTTCTTCTAGTTACTTTAAAATGCCTCATTCTGCCAGGGCCATATTCTTCGATTGTAGTTTATCCATCTCTTGGCCAATACTTCCCTCCACTGTATCACACTGTGCGAGGAAAGCCTAAAAACAAAGTTGAAATATAAGACAATGTATTAGGATCTCCTTTAAAAGTCATTTTCCCTGGGGGCGGGGACATGTTTTCACAGATTAAACAGAGTCAAGAAATAGTTAAAGATCATAGTTAAAGGGTGGTCATTCACTGTGCCTACAGTATAGTGTAACCAACCATATTTTGCTTCCGTTCACTCAGTCTCACCTACAGATGCTGATGCTGCCTACTAGGGTTGTTAAGTTTGGTTCAGAAAAACCTAAAGTTCAGAAAAACTTAACGAATTTGGACTTTTGAACCAATTTTGAACCATGCAGGAATAGTGGGAGGAGCAATTCCAAATTTGAACCACTTACCCATTTTTTCAGAATTGTTTTCGGATGTCTCCCACAGTTATTTTGATTTTCAGAACCATTAAGCAACTTTGGCAAAGCCTAAACAAACGGTTTTAAAATCTCGCGGTTTTCCTTCCCTGGCGAGTGCCGGCGATGCAAAGAGGGACGAAGTGGGTGTGGCTAAGGAATAGCACAGCTCTTCTTGAAGGCCATGCCCCCAGTGGTAGAGATTGCAAAAGGTCCTGAAGTTTAACAGAAAGACCTTTTGCAATCTCTACCATTTGTGGCGTGGCCTTCAAGAAGAGCTGTGCTTAGCCACACCCACCTCATCACTCTTTGCATCACCACTCACCAGGGAAGGGAAACTGTGAGATTTTAAAACTTTGTTTAGGCTTTGCCAAAGTTACTTGCTTAATGGTTCTGAAAATCAAAATAACCATGGGAGACATCCAAACATCACAGAATAATTCCACACCGCCTTGCTGCTCATTAGCCGAGATTGGTTGAGCAGCAGTCTTTGTCTAAATATAAAGTAAAGTGAATCTACAAAGGTGTCCAAAGAGAAGGCAGCAAAGCCTTTCCCATGACAAAAAACCCCTTTCCCTGCAATAAAGATAGCATGTCTCCACCACAAAAGGGGAGCTCCATGGCTCTCCACACACACAGACACAGTTTGTGCTACACAACGTTTCTGAACAACTACTTTTCAACTAAATCTGGCTACCAGTATTTTAAAAAACCTCCAAAATCAGCACAGTAAATAAAGAGCGACAATCAGAAAACGGGGGAATTCCAGGCAGGAAACAATAAGGGCCAGCTACCACCTCCCAACAAAGGATTCCCCAGGCAGGAAGCAGTCAGGCTTTGAAGCTGTGAGGCCATTCAATGTTAATCAAGGTGAACAATTGCAACATTCACACTTGCCTCCACCAGACAAGAGTTCTTTCTCCCACCCTGGTCATTCCAGAGATATATACTAGTCCTCACTTGCCTAGATTCCAGCAGACTTCACAACCTCTGACTGCCGGAGAGTGAGAGAGAGAGGCTCTCGCACCCATGTCCATACAAAGGAACAGTGCAAAGATCGAGAGAAGATAAAGATTCCTATCTCCCATGCAAGTCAATGGCAGCAAAATAGCCTACTGGAAAAGCTCCCGCCTTGGAAACAAAAGCCTCCCTGGTTCGAATCCCCCTCAAGGACAAAAATGTCAAAAACAGGGGAGGGCACAGGGTTGCCATTAACGAAGCGATTCGGAATTTTTTGATATTTTTGATATTTCCGATCTTTTTTTCCAGAAAATTTCAGAAATCATTTCAAAATCGAATCGCCAGCCGAAACATCCGAAACAAGTTTTGAACCATTTTTTTAAATCAAACAAGCCAACTGTCTACATAAACTAGGCTTCCTCTTGAACAACTTGCTCTTTGGATCTTTAGTACCAGATTGTTTGGTAGAAAATGCTAACTGGGGAAATCATCTGTGTCAAATTATTATTATTTATTTTTATCCCATTTTTCTCCCATGGGTGAAGCACTGGTCTTGTCTTTGGATTCACTTCTTTCCCCTGAAACTACTCTCAGGAGCAAGTTAGGAAGCTGCCAGGAGAGTCAGCTGCTAATTTGAATAGCTGCTTTCTGGTGGCAGGGATCAGTGACTCATAGAATCATAGAGTTGGAAGAGACCACAAGGGCCATTAAGTCCAACTCCCTTGCCATGCAGGAGAAGACAAAGCACCCCCACAGATGGCCATAGATGGAGACTCCATCACACTCTGAGGCAGCATATTCCACTGTCAAACAGCTCTGTCAGGAAGTTTTTCATATTGTTTAGGTGGGATCTCTTCTCCTGCAATTTGAAACCACTGGGGCCTAGTCTGTAGAGTAGCAGAAAATAAACCTGCCCCCTCTTCAATGTGACACCCTTCTTTTATCTATGTGAAACATACACAGCTCCCTAAACTGTTCTCCATAGGGCTTGGTTTCCAAACATTTCATCATTTTGGTCACCCTTCTCTGGACACATTACAGCTTGTACGTATCCTTCTTGAACTGCACTGGTCAGAACTGACACAGTATTCCAGATGAAGTCTGACCAAAGCAGAATTCATTCCATCTGCTTTGTTCTTGGCCAGGGTTAAGCAATCTTCTAGGTCTAGAGACTGCTTTTCTGACCCAGAGCCCTTTTGAGGACTGCACAGATTGTCCAAATATTAAAAACTAAGGTCCAGGCCATCTTTTCTTTCAGTGAAGGCAAATAGAATAATATGAAATGTTGGCTATGTAAAAAAAAACCCTAACATTTGTTTCTTCCTGTTAAAAGATAGCAGATGTTCAGCAGGCTCCACTGAACATCAACACAGTATTAAAAAAAAGTATTTTAGTTGCAGGGGCTTAAATACCCCAAGCAAAGGCATCAGATTCTGTTTGATCTTGGAAGAGAACCAAATGAATAACAGGCTATTCAGAAGAAGAAAATAGCAAAATTACCTCTAAGTATTTCTTCTTGTTTTTTTTAAAAAAACGATATGAAGTTGCCATAAGTCAGCATGTGACTTGAACACACACACACACATTCAAATATTATGTGAGGAGGCACAATGGACCCATTTATTTTACTTCTAACTCTGCCTTTCTAAACTGTATGTATTTTACCATTTGATTTTATACACATTTGCTTATGCTTTCCTGGATTGAAGACTGTGCCTGACATTCAATGCGGATTCCAATTATTTTTTGCCAACAATTAATATTAATTTTTTTTTCTAGTGCTGTTTCAACCAGAGTCGAAATTCCCATTCAGTATGGATACTTTGGGCAAGTCACACTCTCCCTGCCTCAGAGGAAGGAAAAAGGAAATTTCCTCTGAACAAGTTTTGTTAAGAACTTCTTTGGATAGGGTTGCCTTATGATCTCCATAAGTCAGAAATGCCTAGAAGGCACAACACAGCAACAATACAATGATTTGTTCTTATTTACATTTATACATAAAACTATTTTAGTTTTGGAGGGTTTTTTGGCAAGTCTTCAAACAGGTTGAGTAAATTTCCTCACTAGACAGAAAGTTTGACTTTCTAATTTTGGCATCACATAAGCACTAGTTTTCACACAGGAATTACCTGAACCTTTTTCACTAGTCCCTTTTTTTTCTGTTTACAGTCACTGTAGTTGTCGGGAAGAGTCTGAAGCAAAATAAAGATAGATGCAAAATTAATGTTGTTTTTTCCTGAAAACAATACATAAGGTCTTATGTCCAAATATTATTTTCACAAAAACATGCTTCAGTGATATATTTACCTAAATGGGGATAGGGTAAACAAATTTAATCAGTTGCATAATCTCTATTTAGTTAATGATCAATTGAAAAGCAAAGCAACACAGCAGAACAGTTAGCATTTAATGTTTACTACTCCAGTTCAAAAAATATTTTGGACCTATTAAGTGAATTATTTTCACTTAATCCTGGCACACTGGATATCTGTAGGAATGCTATATTCACTACTTCAAATTAAAGTGGGAAAAATGTGGCCTATACAAAAAAAGAAGATAGATTTTTCTGTGCTGCCTTAGACACTCCCAGTGCACACCACAAAGTCAGTAAGGTGCAGGTGTTCCGGCAGCCGGGTAATGGGTGGCGCGGCCATTAAAGTAGCAGCGCGGCAAGGTTGTGGGGGCCATGTTCTCTCCCTGCTGTGTGAGCTGGCTGGAATGAGGGTGTGACTGCAGGTCTCCTAGTTTGAAAATATGAAAATGTGAGTAGATCTGCGGGAAGGTAACAGCGCTGCATGCAGTCATGCTGGCCACATGACCTTGGAGGTGTCTACGGACAATGCCTACTCTTCACTTAGAAATGGAGATGAACACCACCCCACAGAGTTGGACATGACTAGACTTAATGTCAGGGGAAACTTTTACCTTTACTTTAACTAATGTACATTAATTTGAATCTTTACATGCTTTAAATCAGGGGTCCTCAAACTAAGGCCCGGGGGCCATGTACGACCCTCCAAGGTCATTTACCCAGCCCTTGCTCAGGGTCAACCTAAGTCTGAACCCACTTGAAAGCACACAACAACAACAATCCTATCTCATCAGCCAAAAGCCAGTCCACACTTCCCAATAAAATACTAATAAGTTTATATTTCATATTTCATAGAATCATAGAGTTGGAAGAGACCTCATGGGCCATCCAGTCCAACCCCCTGCCTAGAAGCAGGAATATTGCATTCAAAGCACCCCTGACAGATGATCATCCAGCCTCTGTTTAAAAGCTTCCAAAGAAGGAGCCTCCACCACACTCCGGGGCAGAGAGTTCCACTGCTGAACGGCTCTCACAGTCAGGAAGTTCTTCCTCATATTCAGATGGAATCTCCTTTCTTGTAGTTTGAAGCCATTGTTCCACGTCCTAGTCTCCAGGGAAGCAGAAAACAAGCTTGCTCCCTCCTCCCTGTGACTTCCTCTCACATATTTATATATGGCTATCATATCTCCTCTCAGCCTTCTCTTCTTCAGGCTAAACACGCCCAGCTCCTTAAGCCGCTTCTCATAGGGCTTGTTCTCCAGACCCTTGATCATTTTAGTCGCCCTTCCAGCTTGTCAATATCTCTCTTCAATTGAGGTGCCCAGAATTGGACACAATATTCCAGGTGTGGTCTAACCAAGGCGGAATAGAGGGGTAGCATTACTTCTCTAGATCTAGACACTATGCTCCTATTGATGCAGGCCAAAATCCCATTGGGTTTTTTTGCCGCCACATCGCATTGTTGGCTCATGTTTAACTTGTTGTCCACGAGTACTCCAAGATCTTTTTCACACATACTGCTCTTGAGCTAGGCGTCCCCCATTCTGTATCTTTGCATTTCGTTTTTTCTGCCTAAGTGGAGTATCTTGCATTTGTCCCTGTTGAACTTCATTTTTGTTAAAATTGTTCTTCGTTTTAATTATTGTATTGTTTTTAAGTGGGGTTTTTTTTGTTTTTGCACTACAAATAAGGTATGTGCAGTATGCATAGGAATTCATTCATGTTTTTTTCAAATTATAATCCGGCCCTCCAACAGTTTGAGGGACTGTGACCTGGCCCTCTGTTTAAAAAGTTTGTAGACCCCTGCTTTAAATGAAACTGTTAAATTATAACAAACAATAATGGTTGTTTTATTTAAAGTACTATAGGAAGGACTCCAAGCACAACTTGTAGCTAAATGACAACAATAATTTAATTTTGTAGTTAACAATGTAGACTGAAGCAACCTATTGGAAAATACAATATTTTGGGGAAAATAACTCTCATAAGAGCTGACTTTCATATATCCAAGGTAGGTATTTAGTAATAAACTGAATATAATAGATATTGAATTTTATATCTAATTCAAAATGCACATAATAAATTGCTGTTCAAAGGGACCTCAAATCCCAAGAAAATGTTCTCTATATTAATATATACATTAGGAATCTTCCCAGTGTAGATTTTATTTTTATTTTCCTAAGGGAGACTCTGAATGACCCTTAACAACTTCATACAAAGTGCCCTTTAAATTATTCATAATAGTGTCTTGAGGATGGACAAGCCATGAAACATCTGAAGAGAAAAAGCACTTTGTTCTCATGGCTATCAACAATTTTTTTCTAACATCTGAGACATTTCAATACTGTCAAAATTATATTTTGACCACAAACTAAAGGCCAATTAGATTTGATGCGGATAAATAGGTTGGTTTTAAATGGTGTATTTTAATATTTTGATAAATATTTATTTATTTATTTATTTATTTATTTATTTATCGTGTCAGTATCAACCGGACAATTGTATTACATTTTAAACAATTTTTTTACAAACAGACAAAACAGAGTTTGCAAGCTTGGTAGTTGATTAAATGTCCTTTGACCAGTAGCTGGTTACTTGGAGTGCCTCTGGTGTTGCTGCAAGAAGGTCCTCCATTGTGCATGTGGCAGGGCTCAGGTTGCATTGCAGCAGATGGTCTGTGGTTTGCTCTTCTCCACACTCGCATGTCATGGATTCCACTTTGAGGTTGGCTCTGCATCTCATGGTGCCAGAGTGCAGTCTGTTCAGCGCCTTCCAAGTCGCCCAGTTTTTTGTGTGCCCAGGGGGGAGTCTCTCATTTGATATCAGCCATTGATTGAAGTTCTGGGTTTGAGCCTGCCACTTTTTGGACTCTTGCTTGCTGAGGTGTTCCAGCGAGTGTCTCTGTAGATCTTAGAAAACTATTTCTTCATTTAAGTTGTTGACGTGCTGGCAGATACCCAAACAGGGATGAGCTGGAGATATCTCTGCCTTGGTCCTTTCACTTTTGGCTGCTACTTCCCGGCGGATGTCAGGTGGTGCAATACCGGCTAAAATGGTGTCATTTCTCCAGTGGTGTAGGGCGCAGACACCCTGTGATAATGTGGCATGTCTTATTAAGAGCCACATCCACTGTTTTAGCGTGGTGAGATGTGTTCCAATGTTTTTTTTAATGTTTATGTATTGTATGTGAATTTGTGTCCCGGCATTGAATGTTTGCTATGTATATGCTGTGCTCCGTCCTGAGTCCCCTTCGGGGTGAGAAGGGCGGAATATAAATGTTTTCAATAAATAAATAAATAAATAAATAAATAATAAAGTAGTTCATTAGAAATCAATACATGAAAGAAAGAGGTTTTGCTTCTCCCGAATGGCACTGGAAAATGTTTCTTCCAAACCCAGCTCAGGGACACAGAAACAGCTCATCATGTAGCACAGAAGGTGCCTGCTGTTCAAAACAGAACACCAAAATCTCTAGTATGGGATGGATAAGTGGTGTAATGCCCCAAAACAAGGGGGAAAGAAGCAAAGCAAAACTGGAATTCTTCAGAAGTCCACTTCTATTTATAAATTTGTTTGATGTTCAATAGTGTGGGTTGTGGAGGGCTAAGGCCAGTTTCACATCTGAATTACTACTTTCAGAATGCTTCCAGGAGAAGCAATATGTCCTTTTGCTAATATATATATAGGTGGATCTGAGCTAAAAACAAAAAACAGGTAAAAACAAAAAAAAGTCATAGAGATCTTATATTTTATAGAATCATAGAATCAAAGAGTTGGAAGAGACCTCATGGGCCATCCAGTCCAACCCCCTGCCAAGAAGCAGGAATATTGCATTCAAATCACCCCTGACAGATGGCCATCCAGCCTCTGTTTAAAAGCTTCCAAAGAAGGAGCCTCCACCACACTCCGGGGCAGAGAGTTCCACTGCTGAACGGCTCTCACAGTCAGGAAGTTCTTCCTAATGTTCAGATGGAATCTCCTTTCTTGTAGTTTGAAGCCATTGTTCTGTGTCCTAGTCTCCAGGGAAACAGAAAACAAGCTTGCTCCCTCCTCTCTGTGGCTTCCTCTCACATATTTATACATGGCTATCATATCTCCTTTCCCCAAATGCATGCTTAACTAAGCCCCTTGTAACAGATGTATGCTCTTTACTGTAGGTATACCTTGTTATTACTGTGTTTGATTTATGGGTAGATTTCAAAGTGTGTGTTTTTAAAGCTGTGACCATGTGTGTGTAAAAACTGTCTAGCATTTATAGAGTTAACAGACCTCAGAGGTTTGTATATTTCTTAGAAAGATATATGTGTATTGACTTCCTACTTCCTCTGTGTGAGACCGGATGTCTGAATAGAATTTGGGAAGTGTGTCTATTGCTGTGAAGAAGAAGGCTGAGAGTCGCCATGCTTGCTTGATGCTTTTTACAGGAGCAAACGTGCTTGCTCTGAGCTGCGATGTTTCTCTGTGTAAATACTTGTAAATAAAACTGATTACTTTATGGCTGCAATCCATCAAGCTTTATTACCCAGCATTTAACATATCTAGTCAAAATTAGAGAATTACGACCTAGTTCCGTTTATTTCATTTGGCCTACCCCAAGTACAATTAGCTTTGGTTCCAACTAGACAAAATTCTGGTGAGGAAATTGTATTCAACTAAATACAACACAATTTCCAAAATTAGCCCTGGGTTAATAACAACTCACATTATCCTCAGTCAGCATAAACTACCCCTTTCCCATTTGCTGATATTATCCAAGCAGCATGGTCCGCATCTGGGTCCCAAAAGCCATGGTGACAGGGAATGGTAAGAGTTGTAGTCCAACACATTTTGAGGCCCCAAGTTAGAGGAAAGCTGCATCATAGTAGTGAATCTGAAAGTCTCCCAATACAGTGCTTTTGCCGAAATGGTGTATAAAAGTATTGATGTGGTGATACTGCATAAAAAAGATTATGTTAAGAAAAGGAAGAGAGTAACTTTTTTAAAGTGCCATAAGCCATTTATTTTGTGTTTGCCCAGACTTATATAGCCTACATTAAAGCTTCACTACATAAAAAACAACAAAACTAAGTTTTCTTGAACAGCCATAACGAATTGTAATAAGAATTTACTCACAATAGCATCAATCTGCTCCAGAATTTTCATGAACTGCTCAGCAGTTCCCTTTATCCGTTTGTCCAGCTGGTGAAGTGCTTCAATTTGAAGATTCTTTGCCAGAAAACCCTGTGTGGAAATAATCCATTTGAAGATCTGAGATTATTTTATTAACATTAACTGAACAAGGCTTATACAGATCACTGAAATACATGGGCATCTGTTTATTCTCACAACTTCCCCATTCATTCATTTTCTGACAGACACATTTTAAATAGATCATTTTTACTGAATAAAATTTTCTTGTTGTGGTGTGCCTTGAAGTCGTTTTCATCTATGGCGATTAGTCTTTTCTTGGCAAGATTTCTTCAGAAGAGGTTTTTCACTGCCTTCCTCTGGGGTTAAAGAGAGTGTGAGTCCAAGGTCACTAAGTGAGTTTCATGGTCAACCAGGGATTCAAACCCTGGTCTCCAGAATCTAAGACTCAAATTACTACGCCATGCAAATCTACATGAAGTAAAACTTGAATAAAACAAACAATGAAAATCGACTATAATAAAAAACTATGTATACAAATTGAAATCATCTAAATATATAAAAAAAATTCCAGTAACTAAAGAGAAAAAGACAAATATGACCTCCAATTACTGTATATTTTAATTCTTAACCTTCTGCTTCCTCCTACCTTAATGCATTACACTTCGTCTATACATTCAATTCATACTAATCAAGCAGTCGTCAAATCACCACCATTTTGCCCCCTCCTTCCCAGGTCAATTATGAGTTACCAGTTTCAAAAAATGCTATTAATGATTTTTCTTTAATTAGAATAGAATAGAATTGTCCATTTCAAGTACATATTTCAATTTGAGTAATCATAGAATCAAAGAGTTGGAAGAGACCTCATGGGCCATCCAGTCCAACCCCCTGCCAAGAAGCAGGAATATTGTATTCAAATCACCCCTGACAGATGGCTATCTAGCCCCTGTTTAAAAGCTTCCAAAGAAGGAGCCTCCACCACACTCCGGGGCAGAGAGTTCCACTGCTGAACGGCTCTCACACTCAGGAAGTTCCTCCTCATGTTCAGATGGAATCTCCTTTCTTGTAGTTTGAAGCCATTGTTCCGCGTCCTAGTCTCCAAGGAAGCAGAAAACAAGCTTGCTCCCTCCTCCCTGTGGCTTCTTCTCACATATTTATACATGGCTATCATATCTCCTCTCAGCCTTCTCTTCTTCAGGCTAAACATGCCCAGCTCCTTAAGCCGCTCCTCATAGGGCTTGTTCTCCAGACCCTTGATCATTTTAGTTGCACTCCTCTGAACACATTCCAGCTTGTCAATATCTCTCTTGAATTGTGGCCACTAATGAAAATCAATTTTCATTAGTAATAAGTCACTCTTCCATTTCTGAGCATTTAATATTATTGTAGCTACTGTCATTTATTGAAATATTTTCCATGACTCCTTTCCAGTTGATCATCCATCAATCCCAAAAGGAGAAGTTCATGTTTTAATTAAAACAATATTTCTGCACTCTCAAATGGATTATTCGTGGTAATCAACAAATCATCCACTAATGTCCTTAGTTTCTATTATTCCTTCTTGATCTTTATTCCTACTGCCTTTTCATGTTGCCTGATATCTCCATTCAAGACCTCAAATTAAAAAATGGATGGTGACTATGGATATCCTTGTCTAGTTCCTTTTGGTATCTCATATGGATTGGTTAACTCTTCATTAATTATTATTGTTATTGTTAAATAGATTTTTATTGAAAACAAAATGAAAGATTTCTTTTTCATAAAAGGTGGGGGAACAATATGGTTATAGGAAAGTAGGAAATAAGAGTGGGAAGGAGAAAGGGATTAAAAAAAAGATAACCGTGCAAAGGAGAAGGTATGAAGGGGAGGGGGGAGTTTTTGTTGACTTCCATTCTTAACCTTTGCCCTTCTGTTTTTCCTTCTTAATTGAACTTCTTTTTCTTCCAATTCGCCTTCTGCCTATGTACTCCAACGTCAGTGTATTTATCTCTTTTCATAGCCCTCGAAAAGACCCCAATGTGTCTGTTATATTGGCTTTTCCCAGTTCTTCTTAAGAAATTAAGTTAGTTTGTCCATGTCTCTAATTTCTCTTAATTTGTCCATCCAATTTTCAATTTTTGGTGCTTCTTCAAGTTTTGAAAGTCTTGCATATGAGATCGTTACAGCTGTTGCCATGTATGTGAATCGTATATTGCTGTTTAGATCTAGAGTCAACTCCAAATCTGTAAAGTCGAATAGGTAATATTCCAGTTTTCTTGGGAAATTTATCTTAATTACCTTTTGACATTCTTCACGTATTGATTTCCAATAACTAATGGCCACTTCGCAAGTCCACCACATGTGGAAAAAACTTCCATTGTGGTCATGGCATTTCCAACTTTTGTTTTCTATATCTTTGTACATTAGGCCTAATTTTTTTGGGAGTGATGTACCATCTGTGAAACATCTTAAGCTAATTTTCCTTTAAATCCATAGCATATATATACTTCATTTTCTTGTTCCATGTCTGCTCCCATTCATTCATATCTCAGTCTTCTAATGTTTTCCGACCACTTGATCATGCAGGCTTTTACACCTTCCGTTTCCGTTGACCACTCCAAAAGTTTGTTATATAGTTTGGAAATTATTTTTTTCTCGGTTAAAAGTATCTTATCCCAAAATCCATCTTTCAAATTGAAGCCTGTCTTCATGTCCTGATTATAATATTCTTTTATCTGTAAATAGTGTAGCCAAGAGATATTATTATATTTCCAACTTAGTTCTTCATAAGTTTTCAAGGTGATGGTGTTCTTATTTAATAAGTCCTTGTACCTTGGCCAGTTGGACCATCCAAGTAGTCTCCTCTGGTTGGTTTCCACTGATGAAATCCATAATGGGGTTGTAGTATAAAAGTTCCTTTTATATTTCTGCCAGACTCTCAATAAAGAGGACCTCATGAAGTGGTTTCCAAAGTGTATTCCTTTTTCTCTCTTTCGTACCACATGTACGAATGCCATCCTACACGTAGGCCAAAACCTTCTAAAGTTAATATTTTTTTTCTTTTTTAAGGGACATCCGGTCCTTAATCCACATTAGGGCACAAGCCTCATGATACAATCTCAGGTTGGGGAAGCCAAATCTTCCTGTTTTGTTTTTTTTTTTAATCAAAATTAGAAATTTAATTCTTGTTTTTTTCCCTTTCCAAATAAATTTCAACAAATCTCAATTCCATTCTTTAACTTTTTTTCACATTCCTTATAACTGGTAAATTCTGGAATAGATAGAGTAATTTAGGTAAAATATTCATTTTGACCAAGGAGATTTGTCCCAAGAGAGAAAAGTTTAGATTTTTCCATTTTTCCAGGTCCCTTTTTATTTCTTTCCAGATCGTCTCATAATTATTTTTCAGCAGTTGATCCATATTCCTAGATATTTTAGTTTTGCGGTTATTTCTAATCCTGTTTGTTCCTTAATTTTATCTTGTTTTCTTTTGTCCAATTTTTTAGTTAGTATCATAGTCTTATTTTTATTTAATTTAAAACCAGCCAATTTTCCAAATTCCTGTATTTTGAATAGCAATTTTTGTAAATTAGACATTAATTATTATTCATTCTGCATGTATAGAATAAACTTATCTAGTCTATGCAATTAAATTCTCAAAATGACAACAGAAATGCCAAGAATTATAGCAATTATCAAAAAAGAGAATTAAAAGTAACCAGGATGCCAGGGAGCATTTGGAAGATTTACAGATATCACACAAGTGTCTAATTAGGTCAGCATCTCTTACTTAATAGTCTTTTTTCTTTGTATCTCATCCAAAATCAGTAAAGATCATTATAGCATATCGTCTATTATCATCCCTCTGCATGCCCTGCCCATTTGCATACGCATGAACACTCATGTCCTCTATTCAATCACATTAACACACCTTCCACATTTACATTTACTCTCCTTATCATCTATCTGTCTCCAAAACAAATCTTTCTGTATTTTCACTGGTAAACCATTCTCCTCCATTTTCATTGTTTCATTCACTTTATTCTGTTCCTTCATATTGTTATACATCTTCCTGTATTTCCTCTGTTTTTCCACTCCTAGGTTTTTCCATACTCACTCTCTCTTACACACACATAATACAACCAATGTCTATACACACCATTACTGGTACACACTTCCTTATTTGTAAAGATTTTCTCCATGAAGAGAACCCTCTATGCATCTATGTTCAGGATCACACACAGGCGCATTTCATCTCTTTGACATGCATCAGGTAGAGCCCCCTCTTCAAAAAAAGACCCACAATGCACAGTTCAGAAACACAAACTGAGATATGCTCTCCTTCAGCGAGACACAGTCACCAATACTATAACAATAGTTTTACCAACAACTAAAAAATATAAACACAGATTAATTGCTGCACCAAGAAAGTGACTCACTTTCTGAATACCTCCAAGTTCTTTATTGACTTCTTCTATTTTCTTGGCTGCTTGTTCCACTGATAGTTCTAAATCTTTTAATTTCTTCAGTTCAGCTTCTTCATCAGGACTCTTCTGTGTATTAAGAAGGGAGAGAAAAGATAAACACAACTTTTCATCAATTACAGCCTGAACATTCCTTATCCAGGATTCTGAACTTTATAATACTCCAAAATCCAAAATGTTTGACATGAGTGGCCAAGATAGTGACACCACTGAAAAAAAGTTCAATTTACAACAATATTTCATCCATAAAATGGTATAAAATTACTTTTAGGTCATGTTTCAGGTTTATATCAGGGCTTCTTAAAACTTTTTCCGCTCGTAACCCTTTCTGCCGAATAATTTTTTACGCAAGTCTAGGTATATCTATATAAATAAAAATGTAATGTTCGTTTGTGCTACCATCAGAACTCAAAAACCACTGGGGGAATTGACACCAAATTTGGACACAAGACACCTAACAGTCCAATTTATGTCCTCCACTAAAAAAAAAAACAAACCCCAAAGAAACAGCAGAAACCCCAAAAATCCACACAAGGGAAGAGCAGCCATTACAGCACTGAGAGCCAAGCGCGTGAGCACGCACGGCCATACAAACAGAACTGGCACAGCAAGCAGCACCCAGCTCCCTCCCTCACAGGGGCCAGATGCGGCCCGCGTGGCCTGGCCAGGCCTCATGCAAAGCCCCTTGCCGCTTGCATCAGTGGCGTTTCTCTCTCTCCCCCTGGAGCAACTTCGGCCGGGGTTGCATCGGGCCAGGCTTCTCCCTCCCTCCCTCCTTCCTTCCCCTTCCCCTTCCCCTTTTCTCTCCCCTTCCCCTTCCTTCCTTCCCTCCCTTCCACCTTCCCCTCCCATCTTCCCTCCCTTCCTTTCCTTCTTCCTTCCTTCCCTCCCGTGTGGGAGGGAGAAGCCTCCCGGGAAGCCACCAGGGAAGCCAGCATTGCCTGGCCATGCCCACCCGGCGCCGCCTCCGCCGCCAAGAGAGGAAATTGGGAGAAAAGTGCATTTCCAAAGGGGAGGGAGGGAGGGAGGGAAGGGGGTGAATCAAAACAGAAAGAGAGATGGGAGGGGGGGGGAGAGAAGGGAGGGAGGAGGGAAAAAGCAAAAGCGATGGCTCTCCTTCTCTCTGTCTCTGCTCTTGGTGCACACAGAGCCTTGCTCTCCTGCTTTGGAGACTTCTCTCCAATCCAGCCTTGTTTCCAGATGGAGCCGGGTGGGGGAGGACTCATGGCTGGAAGGAAGGAAAGAGGGGAGAGAAGCCTCGTAGCCTTGGTGGGCGGAGGATTCCCCCCTTTCTTCCTGCACACACGCACACACACACACTTTGCCCCAGATGCCCCCCTCCCTCTTCTCCCTTCCTTTTCCTCCCCCATGTACTCCCTCCTCCTCCCTCTTTTACCTCTGACAGCCTTGCAGCAACTTACACTTCTAGTCTTCTCCTCCTCCTTCTCTTCTAACCCAATCCTAGAAATGCAAGATACCCTCTCCCTTAAGAGTCTATCCAGTCCAGCCCATTCTGCTAGGCTGGAAGGCACAAGCCATGCCCTCCTAACACAGAGCCACCCAGCTCCAGATGGGATTCTGGAGACAGTCGACCAATATTAGGGTGTAACAAACGTTGGTTTTCCAGTGTTGTCATTCCTCTATGCTCAATATGGGATTCTAGAGAAGGTTAATCTACAGTATATGAGTGTGTTCCCAACTCTGGTCTTCCAGGTGTTTTGGATTTCAATCATGATATTTTGATGCTTAATTGGTAAAATCATAATGTAATAGGCTTTTCCTTAATGCCTCCTTATTCTCCAACATTTTCGCTTATCCAACGTTCTGCTGGCCCATTTATGTTCGATAAATGAGACTCTACTATATCACTAATTACAAACATTTAGTACAGTACATTACCCTTTTCCCAATAAGCATGACTTTGCAACCATTTTTCACTCCATATGTGGACAACGGCTGCTCCATTTCTTTTAGGGACCTTCCTAGGAAGAAAAAACAAACACAAAACCCACGTACTTATTTTATATCTCTGATATGATAAAAAGAGTAGTTTTAAATTAATTCAAAAGATGAAGTTGAAGTCAAATATAACAAAATGTACACAATATGAAACTGGTAAATATAATATAAAACACCCCAAACAGTTCCAGTTGACTTGCTGTTGATACAAAATATTCTTTGAGACTCCACACCAGTCATTATAGTAACAAAATGTAAGCTACATCTCAATATTCACATATTTTTAGATATGTTATCTGGAAGTTCCCTAGCTACCTGAACCTTCAGTAGCATAAATATTTAAGAGATGTGGCACCTAATGATTGCTAAACCACAAATCTTTGTTTGACTACCATGACTAGCTGGAACAAGCTACAACAAGTCAGATTCATATGGTCCTTCCTCATACCATGTTGCTTTCACTTTGATTAACGAGAGCTGACAGTGGACCACAACCCTATTTATGTTGTAGTAGAGCCTGTAAGTAACATTGCAAGCAGTAGTGTGGGTGCCAGAAGGGGGAAAAGGGGTACTCATGAGCAGGAGTCAGATGAGGAACAGCAAAGGAAAAGGATCCGGGATATACTTATGGCACCTACCGATGAAGACTCATTCAAAGGGTTCTCTGGAGACGAAGGGTCAATGAATGAGAGAGGAAGGAGATGCAATGGATGGCAATGGGGAACAAAGAGGGTTACTCAGGAGCAAGAGTCGGATGAGGAGCAATAGAGGAAGAGGATCCGGGATATACTTACTGCTCCCACAGATGGAGAATCATTTGTGGGTTTCTCTGGGAGTGATGGGTCTGGGAGTGCTGGGGATGACACATTGGACTGGACTAAGGTAAAAGAGGTACAAGATGTATGTGCGGAGCTAACGTCTAGTGCAGTGGTTCTCAACCTGGGGTCCCCAGATGTTTTTGGCCTTCAACTCCCAGAAATCCTAACAGCTGGTAAACTGACTGGGATTTCTGGGAGTTGTAGGCCAAAAACATCTGGGGACCCCAGGTTGAGAACCACTGGTCTAGTGACACATTTATGGGGTTCTCGGGTAATGAGGATTGGAAACCGGGAAATACATCTGAGTCTCGGGGAGATCTAAGTCTTGACAGAAGATGGAGAAGTTGGAGGGATGGGAGTAGGAGTTCACGTGTGGAATCAAGATCAGCTGTAAGAGATAATGACAGGGCGGAGGTCAGCTCATTTTCTGATGATGATGTGTAAGATAAAAGTAGGCTCTGAAATGGGGAATCTTTGCAGAAGGCAAAGTGTTGGTTTATGTTCGTGCATTGGGTTATTGCCACTGCTGGTCTCGTGTTGGCGTTGGGTCCTGGATCTACAGGTTACTGCTTCCGTTCGTGTGTGCTTCGACTCAGCTTGGATTCTCTTGAGTGTGGATTTCCCCTTCTCTGACTTCGGACCGGTTTGACTTTGTTGCTGCCTACGTGGACGTTGGAACTTTGCTATCTTGGATTTCGGCTTGCTTCGACCTCGGACTTTGTTTGACTACGCTTTCTTTGCTGTGGCTCCGGTCGCCCACTGTGCTAATTTGTGTCACTTTCAGAGCGTTTTGTTTAAATCCGTTTTTTTTCTCCAGATAATCCAGATTATTGCTTCAGTTTCCTTTTTGCACCAGAACTGGTTGTTGCCTTTGTGTTTTGACCAGAGACACTGAGTTAAGTGTCTCTGAGTCTTTTTATTCATTTAATAAACTTTATTTTTGAAATAAATCTGAGTGTCTGTGTTCCGACAATTTAGCCCTATGATTAGCTAGAACAAGCCACCTTCACAAACTATGGCTTATAGTTGTCTTATTTGAAAATAATCATAGTTACTGTTTGCCAAAGTTTGTTGATCAGGACAACACAATGAACACTGTTAAACCAGAATGGAAATTAAGGCTTCGAAATTCATCTTCTTCATGGCTCAGAGGAGGAGGGGGGAAGGTGCAATGCCAAAGTGAGATCAAAGCAAGTCAATCAGTACTGGTTTATGCTGGACTGGACTAATGATAATCATTATTTCTTTTTTAAAAAATTGTTTGTTACATAAGCAACCAGTTATCCTAAAAAGCCAAATAGCTTTTCTTTGACATACATAAAACCTGAAAACTAAGGAAATGATCAAAAAGATTTTCAGTATTTCTATGATACTTAAGCATTTGAGAATTTAAGACATCCATATTTTTCAAGAATTTATAACGTCAAGCTATTTTTAGCTATTTTCCAGATAGGGAAAGTCTCAAAGATTAGAGCAGGAACACTAATGTCAAGACTTCTTTTTAAAATCAAATCCTGCACACTATAATAAAGCTAAAATATTAACAGAAGGGGGACAAGCAAAGATCTTATCAAAAGAACTCAAATGCAAAATCTACATCCAGTTTCAAGGCAAACGGAATACTTAATATAGCATAAAATTAGCAATTATTTCCCCCACTCCCCTATACATAAACATGCAAAAATCTGTACAGATATATTTCAAAGTGAAATATGCCCAAGATCACACACTGCAAGACATAACTGCAGATGTCCTTTATCTATAAAGCCCTATACAATATGATCCTGCATCTGTGGGGGATATGTTCAAGGACTTCCTGCAGATTCATGAAACACTGGGTAGTAATGAGCCATCAACATTTCACATGTGGAATGAAAATAATCTTCACTTCTGGGAAAAAGATGGATGCACCTCTTCTCCGCAGCACCTCAGGAATCCATCCTTTGGCAGAGGGTTGTTTAGATTCTACCCTAGGGTTTTGGCTGTTTTGCTTGTTCCACTAGTACCCTAACCACAGAAGTTTATATATAAAATTATTATGTTGTATTCAGGGGGAGCTAGCCTAGCCAAGCAAAGCATTATCCCACAAATATAAAAAGTATTACCTACCTTTATATATCAGCTTCTGAAAGGACAATGGAACTCCAGTTAGTTGTTCAATTAAGAGAGCCATATCACGTACAGTTGGCTGTTTACCTTCTTCTTGAGAACCAACTTGAAGACTATGTTTTTCATTACCTGAAAAATAATGAAAATATATTCAGGTCACAATAAGGCAAACTTCAATCTGAATTGCAAGCAGTATCCTCACTCATGTGCTATTAAAAGCAAACCTAAGAAGTAGGCCTTCAGCAAAATATATTTTTCTCTAATGCACTATTTCATTACAGAATTATATATTCATGATGCCATTTCACTGACAGTGTTTTCTCTCAAGAAATACAAGTTGAGTGTCCCTTATCTGAAAATGTTTGGGACAGGAAATATTTGATATTTTGAACTTTGCACATGAGAAACCTTACAGATGGTATCCAAGTGTAAACAAGAAATTCACTTATGTTTCATATAATAATAATCATCATCATCATCATCATCATCATCATCATCATCATCATCATCTTTATTTCTACCCGGCCACCATCTCCCCAATGGGGAATCGGAGTGGCTTACATGGGGCCAAGCCCGGACAATATAATACAGCAATAAAATCAAAACAACAACATCAAAGTAATATTAAAAGAGAAGAAAAAAAATCATAAAATAAACATTCCAGTAAGGATGACAACATTCCAGTAAGGATGACAATCACAGTAAGGATGACAATGGGCGGGCCACATATTCAGGATAAAAACAGTTAATGAACTATAATGAGACAAAATAGGAGCAGGGCATTTACATGGAACTCATAAAACACACAGAGTTGTGAGGCTAAACATCCTATTTGGAGGGCACGAACTCCATTAGCAGAAAACGTTGAAGGGTGCAAAATATCATGCTGTGCACCTACTCACCAAAGGTGCAGCAGAAAAGTCAGGTTTTGAGGTTCTTTTAAACGTTTCTAGTGAAGGGGCTTTCCTGATCTCTCCAGGTAAGGAATTCCAAAGTCGGGGGGTCACAGAAGAGAAGGCTCTCTCCCTTGTGCCCATAAGACAAGCTTGTGAGATTGGTAAAGGCGAAAGGAGGACCTCCCCCGAGGAACGAAGGGCCTAGGTTGGTACGTGGAGAGAGATACAGTCACAAAGGTAGGTGGGTCCCAAACCGTTTAGGGCTTTGTAGGTGATAACCTGTACCTTGAATTCGGACCGGAAAATAAACGGCAGCCTTAAACAGGGGGGTTAACCACTCCCTGTAGGATGCCCCAGTTATCAATCTGGCTGCTGTGTGTTGGACCAGTTGTAGTTTCCGGGCCGTCTTCAAGGGTAGCCCCACGTAGAGAGCATTACAGTAGTCCAGTCTAGAGGTAACTAAGGCATGGACCACCATGATCAAGTCAGACTTCACGAAGTATGGTCGCAGCTGGCGCACAAGTTTTAGTTGTGCGAAAGCCCTCCCGGCCACCGCCATCTATACACCTTATATATGCAGTCTTAAGAGGATTGAGTAATTTTGAGTAATTTTATGCATGAAACAATGGCTGTGTTCATTGAACAATCAGAAAGCAAAGGTCTGACTATCTCTGCCACCCATATGTACGATTTTGGAGCTTTACCAATAAGGGATGCTTAACTCGTACCTACTTCAGTACGGTGCCCAGATTCACAGAATAAGAGTTTATTTTATTTATTTATTTATTTATTTATTTATTTATTTACGGCATTTATATGCCGCCCTTCTCACCCTGAAGGGGACTCAGAGCAGATTACAAGTAAAAAGTAAATACAATATATTATATTATTACCATAGCACAATATTAATATTATATATTACATTGTACTATAATATTATATACTGTAATATTATTAGTCATTTTACATTTAATATAAAATATGTAATTATAATATGTTAATATTAGTAGTATTATATTGGTTGGTGCTGGGGGGGGGGGAAGCTCCCAACTGGTGACACTGGAGGCAAGATGGAAGTGCCTTCCTGGCCCCTCTCTTCATTCTGATCTCAGAGCAGTGGTTGGTGCGGGGTGGGGGGGCTCCCAACTGGTGACACTGGTGAGTTGGAAGAGACCACACAGGCCATCCAGTCCAACTCCCTGGCTTGCAGGAAAAGCACCATCAAAGTGTACACACACACACACACTGACAAGTGGCCATTTGCCTCTACTTAAAAGCTTCCAAGGAAGGAGCTTCCACCACACTCTGAGGCAGAGAGTTCCACTGCTGAACAGTTCTCACAGTCAGGAGTTTTTCCTAATGTTCAGGTGGAATCGTCTTTCCTGTAACTTCAACCCACTGCTCTGAGTCCTAGTTTCCAGGGCAACAGACAACAAACATGCCCCCTCTTCCTTATGACATCCTTTCATATATTTATACATGGCTATTATGTCTCCTCTCAACCTTCTCTTTTGCAGGCTAAGCATTCCCAGCTCTTTAGCACGCTCCTCATAGGCTATGGTCTCCAGACCTTTGATCGTTTTAGTCTTCCTCCTCTGGACGCCTTCCAGCTTGTCAATATCTCTTTTGAACTGTGCGGTCCAGAACTGGACACAGTATTCCAGGTGAGCTCTAACCAAAGCCAAATACAGAGGCACCATGACTCCCTTTTGATGCAGCCCAAAATCCTATTGGCTTTTTTGGTTGTTGCAGCACATTGCTGGCTCTTGTTCAACTTGTCCACAAAGATCTTTTTCATGCGCTGTTATTGAGCCAGACGTCTCCTATCAGTCGCAAGGCCGAACAGTGTATAGGGTCACAACCTGTGCTGGATGGAGTTACACTCCCCTTGAAGGCACAGGTTCACAGCTTGGGAGTTCTAGATTCATCACTGAGCCTGGAATCCCAGGTTGCAGTGGTAGCCAGGGGAGCATTCGCACAATTAAAACTTGTGCACCAGCTGCACCCATACCTTGGGAAATCAGACTTGGCCACGGTGGTCCATGCTCTCGTTACATCTAGGATAGACTACTGCAATGCACTCTACGTGGGGTTGCCTCTGAAGACTGCTCGGAAGTCCAACGAGAGACAGCCAGGTTAATAACTCGAGTGGCATACAGGGAGCATACAACTCCCATGTTATGCCAGCTCCACTGGCTGCCAGTTTGCTACCAGGCACAATTCAAAGTGCTGGTTTTGGCCTATAAAGCCCTAAACTGCACCGGCCCAAATTACCTGTCCGAATGCATCTTCCCCTATGAACCATCATGGAGATTAAGATCCTCCAGGGAGGCCCTGCTTTCTGCCCCACCATTGTCATAGGCACGATGGTGTGGACAAGAGACAGAGCCTTCTCGGTGATTGCTCCTATCCTGGTGAGATCAGGTCAGTGCTAAGTACACATATATTTTGCCTTGTGGTTGGGGCAGGAGGGGGGGGAATCCTGCTGGTCGTGTTAGAACAGCTTGTGGAAAAGGGGGGGAAAGACATAAAAGTAGGGGAGATCAGTGCGGCGCGGGGGCGTACTGGCTCTATTTTCCCGGATCAATAAAGTGGCAATAAATGTGCGGTGTGGACGGGGCCAATTGGATGCGGTATCAAGTGTAATCGGTGGGACAGGGAAAAGAAGGGGACGAAGCCAGACAAACTTCCTTTTGTCCCACCCTTGTGCCTTCCCCCGCTATCTCACCCTGCTTTTTTTTCCTCCTTACCCCCCTCCCCCCCTCCCTCTGCGTCTTCTTTTCTCTCTTCCTCTCCCCTTCCTTCCCCTTCCCTTTCTTTCTTCTTCCTTCTCTTTCTCCCCCCCCTCCCCCCCCCCCCCCTCCCTTCTTCTCTTTCTCTTCTTTTACTTCTTCTTATTGTTCTCTTTCTCTCTCTTCCCTTTTCTCTCTCCTTTCCTTCCCTTTCTTTTTCTCCTTCTTCTTCCTCCTCCTCCTCATTTTCTGTCTTCTCCTCTTCCCCCTTCTTCTTCTCTCTCTTTTTCCTTCCCTTCTCCCCTTTCTTTTTTCCTTTTTTCCTCTCCTTTTGTTGGGCTAGGTGTGAATCTTTCAACTGACCACCTTGATTAGCATACAATGGGCTGACTGTGCCTGGAGCAAACTCTTCTTGAAAGGTGATTAGATGTCCCTGCCTGTTTTTCTCTCTGCTGTTTTTGCTGTTGCAATTTTAGAATTTTTTAATACTGGTAGCCAGATTTTGTTCATTTTCATGGTTTCTTCCTTTCTGTTGAAATTGTCCACATATTTGTGGATTTCAATGGCTTCTCTGTGTAGTCTGACATGGTGGTTGTGAGAGTGGTCCAGCATTTTTGTGTTCTCAAATAAAATGCTGTGTCCAGGTTGGTTCATCAGGTGCTCTGCTATGGCTGACTTCTCTGGTTGAAGTAGTCTGCAGTGCCTTTCATGTTCCTGGATTCTTGTTTGGGCGCTGCGTTTGGTGGTCCCTATGCAGACTTGTCCACAGCTGCATGGAATACGGTAGGCTCCTGCAGAGGTGAGAGGATCCCTCTTGTCCTTTGCTGAACGTAGCATTTGTTGGATTTGAAAGCCTTCGACAATACATTAAATCAAAGAGCATTCTGAACCCTACCAACGATAGAATTGGGCCAAACTTCCCACACAGAAACTCCATGACCAACAAAAAATACTTTTTTTCTGATGGTCTTTGGTGACCACTGTGATACCCCCGTGCGACCCCTCCAGGGGTCCCGACCCCCAGGTTGAGAAACACTGTGTTAAAGTCATTTCGAATTCTGATCCTGTCCTCTGGAGCATGAGCTATCCCTCCCAATTGGACAGGCATGCCCTGTACTGTATACCTTAACTGTCATGGCAACATTGTAAGTATACAGATTGGGGAGGGGGATTCTGAGCCCTCTGCCAGGGATCTCCTCCTGGGAGGGCTTCGCCAAACTACAAATCCCAGGGTGCGATCACAGTGCGTGAGGGGAAAGGGCCAGAGGCCCCGTTGGAGAGACACCCCCCCCCCCCCCCCGAGGTCCAGGGAAAGCCCTGCCTGGGCGCGCCTCCATTCATTCACGGGAAGAGGAGGAGGAGGAGCCTTCAGGCCCACAGACACAAAAGGGTGAAAGGCTTCCTGCCCTGCCTTAGGCGACGGCCCCCTTCTTCTTCCTCCTCTCGCGCTTACCGTACGTCACCGTCACCGTCAAGGCCGAGCTCCCTGCCGGCACCGCCATGGCCGCTCCCTCCTCCGCCTCAGCTCTCTCTCGCCGGCCGCCCCGCAGCAGCGCTTCCTCTCAGGCCGGAAACTGCCGGGGGCCCGGCGAAGGGGCGGGGCTGGAAGGAAGGAGCCCATCCAGCCGCCCCTCTCGCTCGACTTCCGCTCTGAGCCGGCGCGCGCGATGAATAGGGGCCGGAGCCCTAGTCTCTCTCTCTCTCTCTGTGCCAGCCACCACGCTTTCACAGAAGGAGCTTCCACCACACTCTGAGGCAGAGAGTTCCACTGCTGAACAGCTCTTGGTCAGGAAGTTCTTCCTAACGTTTAGGTAGAATCTCTCCCTTAATAGTCAACATGGATTTATCAAAAACAAGTCATGCCAGACTAATCTGATCTCTTTCTTCAATAGAGTTACAAGCTGGGTAGATGCGGGAAATGCCGTGGATGTAGCGTACCTGGATTTCAGTAAGGCCTTCGACAAGGTCCCCCATGACCTTCTGGCAAGGAAACTAGTCCAATGTGGGCTAGGCAAAACTACGGTGAGGTGGATCTGTAATTGGTTAAATGGACAAACCCAGAGGGTGCTCACTAATGCTTCCTCTTCATCCTGGAAAGAAGTGACGAGCGGAGTGCCGCAGGGTTCCGTCCTGGGCCCGGTCCTGTTCAACATCTTTATTAATGACTTAGATGAAGGGCTAGAAGGCATGATCATCAAGTTTGCAGACGACACCAAATTGGGAGGGATAGCCAATACTCCAGAGGACAGGAGCAGAATTCAAAACGATCTTGACAGATTAGAGAGATGGGCCAAAACTAACAAAATGAAGTTCAACAGTGACAAATGCAAGATACTCCACTTTGGCAAAAAATGAAATGCAAAGATACAGAATGGGGGATGCCTGGCTCGAGAGCAGTACGTGTGAAAAAGATCTTGGAGTCCTCGTGGACAACAAGTTAAACATGAGCCAACAATGTGATGTGGCGGCAAAAAAATCCAATGGGATTTTGGCCTGCATCAATAGGAGCATAGTGTCTAGATCTAAGGAAGTAATGCTACCCCTCTATTCTGCTTTGGTTAGACCACATCTGGAATATTGTGTCCAATTCTGGGCACCACAATTCAAGAGAGATATTGACAAGCTGGAATGTGTCCAGAGGAGGGCGACTAAAATGATCAAGGGTCTGGAGAACAAGCCCTATGAGGAGCGGCTTAGGGAACTGGGCATGTTTAGCCTGAAGAAGAGAAGGCTGAGAGGAGATATGATAGCCATGTATAAATATGTGAGAGGAAGCCACAGGGAAGGAGGGAGCAAGCTTGTTTTCTGCTTCCTTGGAGACTAGGACGCGGAACAATGGCTTCAAACTACAAGAGAGGAGATTCCATCTGAACATTAGGAAGAACTTCCTGACTGTGAGAGCCTTTCAGCAGTGGAACTCTCTGCCCCGGAGTGTGGTGGAGGCTCCTTCTTTGGAAGCTTTTAAGCAGAGGCTGGATGGCCATTTGTCAGGGGTGATTTGAATGCAATATTCCTGCTTCTTGGCAGGGGGTTGAACTGGATGGCCCATGAGGTCTCTTCCAACTCTATGATTCTATGATTTGAACCCATTGCTCCGAGTGCTAGTTTCCAGGCCAGCGGAAAACAAGCCTGCTCCCTCTTCATTGTGGCATGCTTTTCACATATTATTATTATTATAACTTTATTTGTACGCCGCTAGCATCTCCCGAAGGACTCGATGTGGCTTACACAGGCCAAGGCCTCAAAACACAACAACAATACAACACCTAAAGCAAATTAAAAACACCTTCACCGTTTGGAGCCATGGAGAAGAAGAACTCAACAGGTTCCTGAACCATCTTAACAGCATCCACCCAAACATCCAGTTCACAATGGAAAAAGAAAATGAAGGAAGACTGCCTTTTCTAGATGTCCTAGTCATCCGCAAACCAGATCAACAATTGGGTCACACCGTCTACAGAAAACCCACACACACAGATAGATATCTACATAAAAACTCCAACCATCACCCAAGTCAAAAAAGAAGCACCATTAAAGCCTTGGCAGACCGTGCAAAAAGAATCTGCGAACCCCACCTCCTCCAAGATGAACTGAACCACCTCAACTGGGCTCTCCAGGCCAATGGATACTCCACCTCAGACATCAGAAGAGCTGCAAGACCAAGAACAAGCCACAAGAGTAAAGATGAAGATCCACCCAGAGGAAAAGTGTTCCTGCCATACATCAAGGGAACCACTGACCGCATAGGGAAGCTGATGAGGAAACACAACATACAAACAATCTACAAACCCACCAAGAAAATCCAACAAATGCTACGTTCAGCAAAGGACAAGAGGGATCCTCTCACCTCTGCAGGAGTCTACCGTATACCATGCAGCTGTGGACAAGTCTACAGAGGGACCACCAAACGCAGCGCCCAGACACGCATCAAGGAACATGAAAGGCACTGCAGACTACTTCAACCAGAGAAGTCAGCCATAGCAGAGCACCTGATGAACCAGCCTGGACACAGCATATTATTTAGAACACAGAAATGCTGGACCACACCAACAACCACCATGTCAGACTACACAGAGAAGCCATTGAAATCCACAAGCATGTGGACAATTTCAACAGAAAGGAAGAGACCATGAAAATGAACAAAATCTGGCTACCAGTATTAAAAAAAAAACTCTAAAATTACAACAGCAAAACAACAGAGAGGAAACAATCAGGCACATCTAATCAACCTCTCAACAAAAGATTTTCCCAGGCTCAGGCAGGCCTTCAAATGCTAATGAAGGTGATCAGCTAAACATTCACACCTAACTGCAGCAGGGAATAGCTCCTTGCCCCACCCCAGCCATTCCACAGATATATAAACCCATTTTCCTACTTCCAACAGACCTCACACCTCTGAGGATGCTTGCCATAGATGCAGGCGAAACGTCAGGAGAAATGCCTCTAGAACATGGCTCTATAGCCCGAAAAAACCCACAAGAACCTAGTGATTCCAGCCATGAATACCTAAAGCAAATTAAAAACAGTTAAGCAGTATGAACAACAAACAATAAACAATACATCAAGACACTATAAAACTGGGCCGGGCCAGAGTAATGGGTACAAGATTAAAAGTGCTGATGTGGCAGGAGGTATGTAGGATTATAAGTAAGTGCAGTGTGCAGAGTGCAGCAATCTTAGTTCTACTAAAGTGCTTCTAGGACTTGGTATTGGAGATTCCTAATCTGAGAAGGCACATCGGAATAGCCAGGTCTTCAAGTTCTTTTTGAAGACTGCCAATGTAGGGGCCTGTCTATCTTTTGGGAGGGCATTCCAGAGTCGGGGGGGGGGGCACAGAAAAGGCCCTGTCTCGAGTCCCCACCAAGTGCGCTTGCGATGCAGGCGGGATCACGAGCAGGGCCTCTCCAGATGACCGAAGTGAACGCGTGGGTTCATAGATGGAGATGCGGTCACGCAGGTAGGTGGTCCCAAACCATTCAGGGCTTTGTAGGTAAGCACCTGCACCTTAAATTGGGCTCGAAAAATAAACGGCAGCCAGTGGAGCTCCTTGAACAGGAGGGTTGACCTCTCTCTGTAATAAGCCCCGGTTAACATCCTGGCTGCTGCCCATTGGATCAGTTGGAATCTCCGAGCCGTTTTCAAGGGCAGCCCTACGTAGAGAGCATTGCAGTAATCCAATCATATAACATATTTATACATGGTGATTATGTCTCCTCTCAACCGCAGGCCCAGCTCTTTTAGCTCTTGATAAGGCATGGTCTCCAGACCTTTGATCGTTTTAGTTGATAGATTAAATTATTAATGAATAAATGTATAGTTATTGGAACCTCCAACAAAATCAGTGCTCCTTTCCTCTTCTGTCCTCCACTCAAAACATTGTTTCATTTCTGCTCAAATTTATGAATGTCATTAACAGGTTTTCCTCACTTTACTTTCTTACTTCACTTCCTCTAATCCTTCATCACACAAATAGGATTTTCTGAATATGAAAACAGTAGAGGCTCCACTTCGAACAACGGAAGTCTGCACTGTCAGCAATTGTTGTCCCCAGCAATTGCTTCAGCTTCCATAACACTGCAAGTGATAAAAACGATAAATTTTCTCACACAAATGCAGACATGCCAACAATCCACTACAAGTCGTAATTTTTCTTTTAATGAGGATATTTGAACGTTGAGGTGAGGGATTGGAAAATCAGTATTAAATGTTGTTCATGGGCAACTGCCCAGCATGTCCATAAGACAGAAATGGATAAGAATTGAGAAAGAACAGTCAAATTCAATGAGATTTACTCTTGGGGTAAACTGATTGCTAATGCTGCCATTTTCTGCTGAGTTTGGAATCAGTCTACTGGCACCAGGCACAGCCAGATGGGAAACACTAAAGATATTTGCCCCACCATTCCAGTGGGTGGCTCCCGCACCCATTCTTCTTCCATATCAGACTCAGTCAACCCAGCAAATGGTGACTTAGGTCCAGCCACATCTTACCAAGTCCACTGAGCCCCGGTGGTGCAATGGGTTAAACCCTTGTGCCGCCAGGACTGCTGATCGAAAGATCTGCAGTTTGAATCCAGAGAATGGGTGCGCTCCCATCTGTCAGCTCCAGCTTCTCATGCGGGGACATGAGAGAAGCCTCCCACAGGATGGTAAAACATCCAGGTGTGACCTAGGCAGCATCCTTGCAGACTGCCAATTCTCACGCCAGAAGCAACTTGCAGTTTCTAAAGTTACTCCTTTTTTTTAATATATACATATATTTGTAAATTTGTCCAACAAAATGTATAAGCATACATTCTTCTCTCTTTTTACAATATCTTAGACAAAAGAGCATGTCATATTTTATACAATCTAACAGTAAATAAACATCAAAAACATATTTAATCATATTTCTGGACAAGCTGGAATGTGTCCAGAGGAGGGCGACTAAAATGATCAAGGGTCTGGAGAACAAGCCCTATGAGGAGCAGCTTAATGAGCTGGGCATGTTTAGCCTGAAGAAGAGAAGGCTGAGAGGAGAGATGATAGCCATGTATAAATATGTGAGAGGAAGCCACAGGGAGGAGGGAGCCAGCTTGTTTTCTGCTTTCCTGGAGACTAGGATGCGAAACAATGGCTTCAAACTACAAGAGAGGAGATTCCATCTGAACACGAGGAAGAACTTCCTGACTGTGAGAGCCGTTCAGCAGTGGAACTCTCTGCCCCAGAGTGTGGTGGAGCCTCCTTCTTTGGAAGCTTTTAAACAGAGGCTGGATGGCCATCTGTCAGGGGTGATTTGAATGCAATATTCCTGCTTCTTGGCAGGGGGTTGGACTGGATGGCCCATGAGGTCTCTTCCAACTCTATGATTCTATGACCTGAATGTGTTCTCAACAACTTGCAGTGTTTACAGATGGTTGCTTCAGCTGTCCTTCATAAACAGGGAGAATCAGCCTTGCCAATGCTGTTGCCCAAGGCTTGAATCACTGGGGGCCCTTCCACACAGTGTAACATGCACAGATTATCTATAGGACGGGTCCTCAAACTTTGTAAACAGAGGGCCAGGTCACAGTCCCTCAAACTGTTGGAGGGCTGGATTATAATTTGAAATAAATATGAATTAATTCCTCTGCACACTGCACATATCTTATTTGTAGTGCAAAACAATTAGGACGCGGAACAATGGCTTCAAACTACAAGAGAGGAGATTCCATCTGAACACGAGGAAGAACTTCCTGACTGTGAGAGCCGTTCAGCAGTGGAACTCTCTGCCCCAGAGTGTGGTGGAGCCTCCTTCTTTGGAAGCTTTTAAACAGAGGCTGGATGGCCATCTGTCAGGGGTGATTTGAATGCAATATTCCTGCTTCTTGGCAGAATGGGGTTGGACTGCATGGCCCATGAGGTCTCTTCCAACTCTATGATTCTACAACTGGACTTAATGTCAGAGGAAAACCTTTACCTTTACATATAGGTTACCTGAGGCCACAAAAGAATGCTACTAGTCAACATCAAACCAGCACTGTTGAATACCTCCCTCCAAATCTATGGCAAAAATCTGGAATATGTTGTGTACATACAGTTTCTAGAGCCATTTGGATTAATTAGGTCAGGTATGGAAATCATGGGATCCTCTGTTGCAGTTCAAAAACGAACTGCAACTGCCAGCAGCCCTTAGCAGCATAGCCAGTAGTGAGAAATGGGAGTTGCAATCCAGAAAATCTGAAGTTTTTCTGATGATCCCTTTGGCCTTCTGATTCCTGATGAAACCTTTTCTTTTAACTCAGACCCAGTGATTGCCTTGTGTTTGCAAAAAAAAGGAGATCATTTCTCATCCACTTGGCTAAGTCACTTGTCTATTTTTATGATGGTAAGAATAAAACAAGCTGCCCCTGTCCACAATAAGTCTAGCTGATGGCCACCCCTCCGAGGCTTATAGTTGTCTTGGAGCTCTGGATATTCTTCACAGAGAAAATTAAAGGGGGTGGAAGGAGGAAAAGTTAGCAGAAATAAACTAAAATGATAGGACAAGTGCTCTGACTACTTCATAAAGTGAATGCAACTCTTTTACAATAACATAAATTGAGAAACACAATAAAGAAATTTCATTTGCCTGTTCTAGGAATTTTTGAAACCTGTTCCTTTATGTATGACTTACACGAGTTTAGGAATAGGTTTTTATGGAAAACAACACAAGTTTCATATTTAGTATGGCCAGTAAGATCACATAGTTGAACTATTTGGCCAATCCAGGCTGCTGAATAATAACCCTATATATTATTGGCTAATTTCTATGAATATATATATATACTAGCCGTCCCCTGCCACGCTTCGCTGTGTCCCAGTCTGGTGATCTGAAAAATGAAGTAATTAGAATGTGTTTCTAATATATGTAATTTCTTTATGTTTGTGGGTAAACAGTATTTTAGTGTTGATGTTGAGATTGTCCGGTTTGCCTACTCTGGAACATGCAATATATAATTGTCCTTCTTTAGGGGTCCTTTTCAAATCTAGGATACTATATCTCTCTCTGTGTGAATCATATATATCTATATCTATGACTGGGTGGCTCTTTGTCAGGAGGGTGAAGGGAGTTGGACTGGGTGGCCTTAAGTATTTTCTGTTGGTCATGGGGTTTCTGTGTGGGAAGTTTGCCCCAATTCTGTCGTTGGTGGGGTTCAGAATGCTCTTTGATTGTAGGTGAACTATAAATCCCAGTAACTACAACTTCCAAATGTCAAGGTCTATTTTCCCCAAACTCCATCTGTGTTCATATTTGGGCATATGGAGTATTCGTGCGAAATTTGGTCCAGATCCATCATTGTTTGAGTCCACAGTGCTCTCTAGATGTAGGTGAACTACAACTCCCAAACTCAAGGTCAATGCCCATCAATGCCCATGTTGGTCATGGGAGCCCTGTATGCCACGTTTGGTTCTATTCTGAATGCTCTTTGATTGTAGGTGAACTATAAATCCCAGCAACTACAACTCCCAAATGACAAAATCAATTCCTTTTCTCCATCAGTGGTCACCTCGATCCGCCCTAGGGAGGTACACCTGGAAGTTACAAGGCGTAGAGCTTTTTCGACCTATGCTCCAATTCTGTGGAACTCATTGCCTCCATACATTAGAGCAATGCCGGAGTTGCGACCTTTTGTAAAGGCACTCAAGACTTGGCTGTTTGGTTGCGCATTTCAGTAATCAGATCTAATTTGCCAAATAGTCACTGTTGAATGTTTTTATGTTGAATGTTTTTATATTGTGTAAATGCTATTTTAGATTGTAAGTCGCTCAGAGCACCTTGGTGGAGAGCGACAAATTAAGAAATAAAGTGAAGTGAAGTGACGTGTGATGGTCACTCCTTAGGTTAGTAGGTGTCTTGTGGTCAAAATTGGCGGCAATTCATCCAATGGTTTTTGAGTTATGTTAATCCCACAAACAAACATTACATTTTTATTTATATAGATAGATATATATAGAGAGAGGGAGGGGATTCTTGGCTTTGAAAATGAGATTCGGAGAAAGCCTACTGGGATCAGTGGCTGCTCCACCATGAGGCTCCCTTTTGAATGAAGGTTCCTTATCAAATCAGGCACTGACCTGGACTACACATCTTCCAAACAACAAACATGAAGGAACAATGTCTCATCAGTTTGGGAAAATCTGGTCATTCCAAGACAACGGCATACAAACTGGTTCTATGTAGAAATAAGAAACTATTATTGCTTATCATTATATCTACTACCTGGAGACCAATATTAAAATGATTAACAGTTTGGTTTTTACACATAACTGAAATAGAGTTTTTAAAAAACAGCAAACAATAAGATCAAGATGCATTATATAGCATACTATTTATGTCAAAATGAATTCTAGATGGTAATCTCTTTTGCATATATTTGTTTATACAGTTACACTTAAGGTAAGCAAGTTATGGAGTAAAAATGGAAATATTCTTAGAAAATGTTCATGATCATAGCAGGCATAATAATGTTGTTTTAAGATAAACCACCACTATGGCCCTCTGTTATCCAGGGAAACATGAAGTCAAAGAAAGCTATAAATAATCCCACATTTTTTTCATACAATATATCTACAACAGCAATATTTTAGAATATTTGAGTGGATCCCACAGAAAATAGTAGTGTCAGTTCCTTGTTTTTTAATACAAAAGCTAGTAATAAAATCTCTTCAAAGAAGGAAAATTAACATTCATTGTTCACTCCATGTTCCAAACCATCGCACCGAAAACAAGGATTCCTACAATCTCAAAATGTTTTTGCTTAGAAATATCTAAGATATAAGACGGCATTCCCAATGAATGGGAGCAGTTATGTTGCTGGGATCTGTGGGAGTCCAAATTCATCCACCAGTACACCATCCTGTGAAACAGAAAACAGGCAGTTTAAGGTTAATCAGTATTCCACAAATTAGTACCAAGCATACCCATTATAAGCCAATGGAAGTTAATTTCCTGTCTATATACCAAGATATCTGCATCTGCAAACATTAAACCTGCCATTGCACTCATACTTTATGATGTTTATGATCATAGACATTATACTAAATCACAGTGAAGTTTCTTTAAATACTGTTCAGCAGGACAGGTGACTTGATCCTAACATAGCTTTTGTAGCACTGCATTTTTATGAATAACTAAAATTATGTACACATCCCTTATTCTCTGAGACAAAGATAAAACCAACAAGGAAAGACACATCTTTTTTAAGTTTGTAAAATTAACAAAAATGTGCTCTAATTTGGTAAGATTTTGGGGAAAATTCTGTTGCATATGAAAGGGCCTGAGTTAGTGAGGGACGAGACTCACTTTGTTTTTTGCCTCAGCTGGCATGCCTTCTGGAATAGCTGGAACGGATGCCGCTTCATCCAAATAGGAGCTATCTTCATCAGCTAGAAGTTCATCACCCAGTGCCTCCAGTTCTAGAATTGTTGTTAAAATGGAAAATGTTTACAGTGATAATTGATAGTGGTTTATTTTTATTTATTTATCGTGTCAGGAGCAACCAGACATTTGTATTACATTTTTAACAAAACAAACAAACAGACAGACAAAAACACAAAGTTTGCAAGCTTGGTAGTTGATTAAATGTACTTTGACCAGTATCTGGCCACTTGGAGTGCCTCTGGTGTTGCTGCAAGGAGGTCCTCCATTGTGCATGTAGCAGGGCTCAAGTTGCATTGCAGCAGGTGGTCAGTGGTTTGCTCTTCTCCACACTCACATGTCGTGGATTCCACTTTGTAGCTCCATTTCTTAAGATTGGCTCTGCATCTCATGGTGCCTGAGCGCAGTCTGTTCAGCGCCGTCCAAGTCTCCCAGTTTTCTGTGTGCCCAGGGGGGAGTCTCTCATTTGGTATCAGCCATTGATTGAGGTTCTGGGTTTGAGCCTGCCACTTTTGGACTCTTGCTTGCTGGGGTGTTCCAGCGAGTGTCTCTGTAGATCTTAGAAAACTATTTCTTGATTTAAGTGACTCAGCATATAGAAGATGGCTTTGAAAGGCAGCAGATCACACGAGCTGTCTTCATAGACCTGTCAGCGGCTTATGATACTATATACCACCGCCTCCTCCTGAGAAAAATGTATAATATCACAAAGGACTACCATGTCACCCGCCTCATGGGAAACCTACTACAAAACAGGAGTTTCTTTGTTGAGTTCCAGGGCCAGAGAAGAAGATGGCGGAAACAGGAAGAACGGCCTGCCTCAGGGGAGCGTGCTTGCTCCATCCATGTTCAACAGTTACACAAATGACCAGCCACTGCCAGAAGGGACAGAGAACTTCATCTATGCTGATGATCGTGCCATTACTGCTCAAGCAGGGAGCTTTGAGATGGTTGAACAAAAGCTCTCTGAAGCTCTAGGTGCTCTTACTGCCTACTACAGGGAAAACCAGCTGATCCCTAATCCATCTAAACACAGACACGTGCTTTTCACCTTAAGAACAGACAAGCATCCCGAGCTCTGAGGATTACCTGGGAAGGAATCCCACTGGAGCATTGCAGCGCACCCAAATACCTGGGAGTCACTCTGGACCGTGCTCTGACCTACAAGAAGCACTGCCTGAATATCAAGCAAAAAGTGGGTGCTAGAAACAATATCATACAAAGGCTGACTAGCACAACCTGGGGATCACAACCAGACACAGTGAAGACATCTGCCCTTGCGCTATGCTACTCTGCTGCTGAGTATGCATGCCCAGTATGGAACACATCTCACCATGTTAAAGGGTTTTCCTAATTTCTCCAGATAGTGAATTCCAGAGTCGGGGAGCCACTGAGGAAAAAGCTCTCTCCCTTATGCTTACAAGGCGAGCTTGTGAGACTGGCAGGGGCGAAAGAAGGGCCTCCCCAGAAGATCGAAGGGAGGCCCTCTATCACTCATTTCCACCAGATGCTAAGGAGGTTGTCCAAGCCCTAAGGAGGTTGTCCAAGCCTGGCCGCTGTGACGGTCTGGATGAGGGTAAGCAAACTGAAGTTGAATACAGACAAGACAGAGTCCTCCTGGTCAGTCGCAAGGTCAAACAGGGTATAGGGTCACAACCTGTGCTGGATGGGGTTACATTCCCCTTGAAGGCACAGATTCGCTGCTTGGGGGTCCTCCTGGATTCATCACTGAACCTGGAATCCTAGGTTGCAGCAGTGGCCAGGGGAGCATTCCCACAATTAAAACCTGTGCGCCAGCTGCGCCCATACCTTGGGAAGTCAGACTTGGCCACAATGGTCCATGCTCTCGTTACATCTAGGATAGACTACTGCAATGCACTCTACGTGGGGTTGCCTCTGAAGACTGCTCGGAAGTCCAACGAGAGACAGCCAGGTTGATAATTCGAGTGGCATACAGGGACCATACAACTCCCATGTTACGCCAGCTCCACTGGCTGTCAGTTTGCTACCGGACACAATTGAAAGTGCTGGCTTTGGCCTATAAAGCCCTAAACGGCTCCGGTCCAAATTACCTGTCCGAACGCATCTCCCCCTATGTACCATTGTGAAGATTAATATCCTCCGGGGAGGCCCTGCTTTCTGTCCCGCCACTGTCACAGGCACGATTGGTGGAGACGAGGGACAGGGCCTTCTCGGTGATTGCTCCCCGTCTATGGAACTCCCTTCCTCGTGAGATCAGGTCAGCCCCCTCCCTCCTGTCCTTTAGAAGGATGGTAAAAACTTGGCTGTGGGACCAAGCTTTCGGGACAGGCAATAAAGCGGTAATAGAAAAGATGACCAGTCCAATTAGATTTTACATGGATGACTAGGACGGTTTTAATTGGGGTATTTTAATATTTTGATAAATGTTTTTTTTAATGTTTTAAATAATAAATAAATGTCAACATGTCTGTCTTGACCCCAAGTTACCTAACTTGCTAGAACACAGTGAGCGTAACATACCAGCCTCTAAGTCATCTTCATCTATTTCTGGAGTTCCATAACTGCGACCCAGTGCTTCCTGAATTTCGCTAGCATCTTCCATCATATCTTCCAACTGGTCTTGGAGGTCCTAAAGTTTATTACAAACATCCCAATTGTAGTAAATAAGGCACCAATGTAAAGATTTTTCAGTATTCATTACAGCTTATTTTTCTGTCTGAAGTGATCAACACTGCACTGCTTCTTGATCAATTGGGAGGATCTTTTTAGTTATATTTAGTGAAGACCCACTGAAGGAATATAATAATAATAATAATAATAATAATAATAATAATACTTTATTTATACCCCACTACCATCTCCCCAAGGGGACTCGGGGCGGCTTACATGAGGCCAAGAGAGTAAAATCCAAGACAGAGAGAAAGGGGAAAACACTTGATCTAATTCCAAATGTAAAATAAAAATAAACATGTACAACCTTACATTGTTAAAGTCTAATTTCTTAACACACATTAGTATTTTAAACTGATATTAAAGCTCACCTCAATTTGATCAATTTTCACTTGCTTGTAAGCCTTTTTCATTTCCTTCACTCCCACTTTCATGGCATCCACCTAGAACAAGAAAAATATTTTATATTTAAACTAACTACACCACAAGCAAAATATTGACGTGAAAACTGAAATAAAAAACAAAGTTACCGTCGTTTTGGTATCTTTCAAAGACTGGATGGTATAATTGGCTTGTTCCATATTGAAAGATTGTTGGGCAAGGTTATCACGCTGGTTTTCATACCTATATTTGAAACATATTATAGTTATGAATAAGGCTAATGCTAATGTGAAAAGCTAATGCTACTGCTGCAGTGCCTGACTTTCCTTCCAGATGAACAGTGAACAGCTGAGTCGAAATCCCAAAGTGAGGGGAATTCTAGACAAATGCTGCTGTCATAAATTAATCTTAGTGTCTCCAAAGTATACAAATGTAAATTAAACCTAACTTCCTATGGGCCGTGCCAGGGTAGAGACACAATGTTCAATCCCGGATTTTAAAATGTAGTTCTTTTTTTCCCTCTGGTTTGTTAACAGGACCCTAACCCAAATGTTACCCAGTCTGAGCACAATAATAATAATCATCATCATCTTTATTTGTACCCCGCTACCATCTCCCCAAGGGACTCGGTGCAGCTTACATGAGCCCAAGCCCACAGTACATCAATAAACAAAACATCAAATAAAACAATCAATACAATACAATTCATATAAATCACATAAACAAAAATAAGCAATAAACAATCAACCGTGACATATAAGCATTTAAAAACCAATCGGCGGGCCAATGTAATAAATTAAAATTAAAATAATGCTGACGTGACGTGAACATTTTTGGAGAGAAGTGAGGGAACGCAGTCAGTCACAAATCAATGGTAAAGTGCATTTTGAGGGCATATTGCTGAGAGTTTTCCTTATTCTGGGAAGGCACACTGGAACAACCACGTTTTCAGGCTCCTCCTGAAGACTGCCAGAGTTAGGGCATATCTGATGTCCCTGGGAACTGAGTTCCAGAGTCAGGGGGCCACCACCAAGAAGGCCCTCTCCCTCGTCCCCACCAATCACACCTGCGAGGGAGGGGGTAACATGAGCAGGGCCTCTCCAGATGATCAAAGAGATCGTGTGGGTTCGTACACAGAAATGCAGCCACTCAGATAGGCGGGTCCCAAACCGTTCAGGGCTTTGTAGGTCAGAACCTGCACTTTGAATTGGGACCGGAAAATGAATGGCAGCCAGTGGAGCTCCTTAAACAGGAGGGTTGACCGCTCTCTGTAAGAAGCATCAGTTAGTAACCTGGCTGCCGCCCGCTGTGCCAATTGAAATTTCCGGGCCGTTTTCAAGGGCAGCCCCACGTAGAGTGCATTACAGTAATCCAATCTGGAAGTGACTAAGGCATGGACCACCCTGGCCAGATCCGACTTCACGAGGTACGGTCGCAGCTGGCGCACAAGTCTTAATTGTGCGAAGGCCCTCCCGGCCACCGCCAATGTAAATTACATCTTCACAAGTCAGCCAGTAGGGGAAAATCACTGAATCCGAATTTCACAAACCATTTTTATGAAGTTTTACTAATCTAAGATGGATAACCAGGTATCTTGACTGCTGTTCCTTTTAATGTATTGAAGGAATTTGTCTCTTATTCCTTCTCCTTACGTCATACAGGCTCCCAAAAATACCTCCCAAAAAGAATGAAGAAGTGTCTGGAAGTCTACTTCTGGTTTTAAAACACTTTAAACAGGGTGGAGGTGAGCGACCTACCCTTTATGGAGTGGAGGGGCTGAGGCCTGCATGCAAGTCTCAAGGCCACATGTTAGCCACACCTACATTATAAGCAATAAAAACAATTCCTCTCACATAGACAAAGAGGAATTGGAAGCGTGGTTGGAGAATGGCATTGCTGGCAAGGGTTCAAGCCCATTTCTTTAATTAAAAAAAAAGAAGTAAACTTACATCCTCTTCTGTTTTAACACTCTCAGGGCTTTCTGCTTTACCATGTTCTAAAAAAGAGGTGGCAGTAAGTTATCAGTAAAAATTAATGGCTGAATGCAACACTTGTTTTAAGCACTATATACTACCTTTCTATTATAATAGCCAATATGGTTTATGAACATACATGTATTTTGAGAGTATAAACAGTCACTGAAGAAACCAATTCTAACGAACTCCTGTGCAGTAATAATTCCTAGCCAAACAAAATATTCCTCCATGGAGTTCAAGAGACATAATTTAAATATCCAGCACCTATTTTGCCCTCATCACCAACTTGACATAAATACCGCATATAAGATGACTGGGCGTATAAGACGACCCCCAACTTTTCCAATTAAAATATAGAGTTAGGGATATATTTGCCGTATAAGACTACCTCTCTTCCAAAGCACACCAAATAAATTTTTTAAAAGCATTAGATTTGATTTCAATATGGTCATTTTCCTATTACTGTACCTCCTTCTCTGCCTCTCCGATCTTGCACATGCGCACCTTCAGGAGCAGGATCTGAGAGGCGGGTTAGGAGGTACGGTAATAGGATACAAGGGCGGGCCAGACAGGTAAAAGAGGTGTGTTTTTCTGGGCCCAAAACCACTCTATCTCTTTTTTCCATATCCCGGGCGCCCCGGACGCCTGCAGCTTGCTACACCCTTCACTTACATCTTTACGGTGAGGCGCCCCTTCACCTCACCATCGGGACCGCATTAAGTCCACGAATCCTGATGAATGGATTTTCTTCTACCGTTTTTGAACTGCTTAGAAACAGCATCTCCCTTAATGCTTTCACATAGTCGCTGCATATGGCAGGGACGCAGCCACTGCCATTTTTTAGCTCCCCCCACCATATGCGGCAACCACAGATTCTCCAATCCGATTGGAAGTTTCAGCACCCACTCTATAAGACTACTCCCGGCATATAAGGCTACTCCCGCGTATGAGACGACCTCCACGTATAAGGCTACTCCCGTGTATAAGACTACCCCGTATATAAGGCTACCCCCGTGTATAAGACGACCCCTGAGTTCTGAGAAGATTTTCTTGGGTTAAAAAGTAGTCTTATACACCAGAATATACGGTAAATATAAGTGGGCCAGCAAGTTTCTGACAAAGTGGCCTTTGAACTTTGGTATCCACTTTCAAGTAAACACAAAGATACACTGGCTCTTACGTTTTCTTAACTAAGCCTAAAGCAAACTGAAGTACTCATATTTGCAGCCTTTTAAAATAGTAAAATATTTTATAATTTAATTCATTAAATATTTTGTATTTTAAACAATAAAACTTTATAGTTAAAACATCTTATTCTCTTTTGCAACAAATCTGAGAGGTAATCTATATTGGCATTTATAGACTAGAAACAGAGACTGAAAGACAATGTCTTGCTCATTACCAACTAGCAAGTTTATAGCTATGCTAAGACTCAAATCCAAGGAACTCAGCTAACATCTAATGTGATACTCACTACAGATTCAAAACCATGACTGTCAAAATGTTCAATGTGGGAAGGAATTTTGTGTTCACACACCATTCTTCAATAACTGCCCTTTGTTGGGTAGAGTTGAGAGAGCACTGCTCATATCAGCAGTGATAAGACAATTACTTTCGGTATGACAACATGACTACCTAAGAGATTTTTTTAGATCTATGATAATGGTACAGGTATTAAATACAGGAAGTCTATGGGTTACAAACAAGATAGGTTCTGTAGGTTTGTTCTTAAGTTGAATTTGTATGTAACTTGAAAGAGGTACATTTTTGAAATATAACTCAATGCAGATTTTGATAGCATAGGGAGGGTTAACACCCCTGTAATGTTTGTTTTGCTGTCTGTGCCACTGTTCAGAAGAGAGGTGGTAAATACTATTATTATTATTGTTATTCGCTTCCTGGTCCTGTGACAATTGGATTTTAAGAATGTTGGCTTCTCAAGGAAACAAGAATTGGTGATAAAAACTTCAGTGGGGGAACTTTTTTCTCATGATAACTTTTTCAGAAGTGAATTTCCTCTCCTAGTTGTCTCAGGGACAGGAAGTGGGATTAAATCTCATGGGAATACAGATAGCAGCACAAATCTCACAGTGGCTCTAACCCCATGTCTTACTAACAAAAACTAAAAGTATATATATTATTTATTTTTACTGTGCGTTTTCAAATACTGCAAAAGGCCCAGTGCACGCTGCTGGCAGGTGTGCACGCCCCTGGGTCCACCTAGTGCCACCGCCCATCCCCCATGTTTGTACTAGGACTCTGATGCAAGTTGGATGTTTGTAACTTGGGGACTTCCTGTACTGAACCAAATACAGAAAAAAAGTTAATCAAAACTTCAAAACCTGGAGAACTAGTTCTGCAATGAGTCATCTGGTCATATGTTGCTCACATCATACCTTTGCAGGTCCCTCCCTCATTTTCTTCATTTGATCTTTATACTTCACCAGTTCTGCATCAAGTCTAGAAATTTTCTTGTCAATGGATTCTGCTCTGCTGTCCACCTGTAACAAAAGAAAGGAAGAATTTAAAAAGCACTATTGCTATTTGAAAGGATGCTAGACTATGGAGTCAGTACAGCAATTACAAAAGATCCTCAAGCATGTCATTCTGCGATCAAACACCAAACTTTTAAAAATAAAATAGTATTGTTTTATAGTGTATATAAGAAATAAAACAGACAATCAAAAAAAGAAAGAAAAAAAAGAAAAATATGCAAAAGAGTAAGCAGGTTTACAAAATAATATACTGTCAGTGCTCATTAAACATATGAAAAATCACAATTGGCTGTACAGTTACTATACCTTAACATTTCTTATCTCTCTATGCCCACACCTGTGAATCCAACCTCCATGGCCTCCAACGCCCCTCAAAAGGGATCACACAACTAACCAGCAACGACCCATATGCCTTCTTTCACTAAATCCCCTTTATGGGAAACACCAAACTTGAAAACTGTATACATTTTTAAAAATCAGATTCCATTTAACAAGAGAGATTATTCACAAAAAGCACAGCAGTAGAGATTAGCAATCCAAGAGCAAAACCGGACCAAAGGTGTGACACCTAGCTTTCCACTGACAACCTGAAAGCAAAAGAATCAAGCAGAACATAGTGTTTATATCAAAACCACATCATTTGATGGGAGGATGAGGAGAGAGGACATGACTTCTCAAGACTCTGCAAAATGTAATAGCTATTATACAAATCACAATAACATGAAAACACAACTGAATTCCAGTTTGGAGTAAAATGTGGGGTACACGTTACATAATCATTGCATAGAATAATTCCAGCAAAAGCAGTTCTGCTCATGTTACTTCCTAAGTATTTCAGAATACAAAGATGAATATGCAAGACGGCAGCACAGAATACTTTAGCATACACCATCACTCTGTACCCGATTGTTTCCATCAGTGCCTCGAGGCCGTTACTGGATGGCTGCGTGCCAGCAGGTTGAGGTTGAATCCAGCAAAGACGGAGATCCTATGGCTGGGTGGACTGGGCAGTGGGGACATCCATCTGCCCACCCTGGATGGCGAGGCGTTACGCCCGTCATCATTGGTAAAGAGTCTGGGAGTCCTTTTGGACCCTCTGCTGACAATGGAGGCCCAGGTCTCCACCGTGAGCAGAACCGCCTTCTTTCACCTGCGGCAGGCTAGACGGCTGGCCCCCTACCTGTCCAGGGACGACCTAGCTACGGTGATCCAGGCCACGGTCATCTCAAGACTGGACTACTGTAACGCCCTCTACATTGGCCTTCCTCTGTCGGTGATCCGGAAGCTCAAGTTGGTACAAAATGCAGCTGCTCGGCTTCTTGCGGGAATTCCGATGAGATGCCACATAACACCAATCTTACTACAGCTGCATTGGTTACCAATTGAGCACCGGATCACTTTCAAAGTGATGGTACTCACCTTTAAGGCCTTGCATGGTCTGGGGCCAATGTATCTGAGGGATCGTCTCACCCCCTACCAACCCCAGAGATCCCTCCGTTCTGAGGACCAAGATCTATTGGAGATCCCCAGTGTCAAGACCTTGCGTCTAGCGGCAACCAGACGCAGAGCCTTCACAGCAGTGGCGCCATCAGTCTGGAATGCTCTGCCACCTGAGGTTCGTGCCCTGCGGGACTTACCAGCTTTCCGCAGGGCATGTAAGACATACCTGTTTCGACAGGCTTTTAATGTTTGATACTGTTGTTTTTAAATTGTTTTAAATTGCTTTTAAACTTTGTTAGATTTTAGCTATTCTTGTAAGCCGCTCCGAGCCCCAGGGGAGTGGCGGCATATAAGTTTAAATAATAAATAAATAAATAAATAAATAAATAAAAAATCACCAATAAAACCCTATGTCACACTGCAATCAGCTTTCAACAGTTTCCTCAATTTCAAACATAATTCGCCATGCAGCATAAAAGGCAGCACACAGAAGCAATTGTCCTTTGGATTTTGGCCAGTGATGTAACAGCCAGCTGACCCAGCAGCTTCCAAGGAGAGAACATAAAAGGTCTGACCTAGAGGCCTGGAAGAGCTTTGTTGGGCTCTGCTGCAAGAGGGACCCTGGGGCCTGAGTATTGCCATCCAGCTTTGCTGCCTGCTCAGCCCTGGACTTACCCACAAGGAGACCTGCAGCCACACCTTCATTCCAGCCAGCTGACCCAACAGAGAGAGAACATGGCCCCACAACCTCGCCACGCTGCCACCCATTGACCAGCTGCCGGAATACCTGTGCCGGGTGCCTCCATAGCCACGCTGCCCATCATTTGGACATTGGAACACCTGTGCGGGTGCTCGTTTTCGGGGTTCCCCTGCCTCTCCTGTTGCTTCAGACCACTTTTTCCATCAGCCCACTTTGGTTGGGATTCAATGTTTACTTTTAAGCTCTTTTTTGTATTTATATTTGAATTATTGTATGTTTACTTTTAAGCTTTTTTATTGTATTTCTATTTGAATTACTTCTAAGCTTGTTATTGTATTTATATTCGAATTATTATCTCATGTTTATTATTGTATGTTTAAATTGATATGTTAGTTGTTTAAATTCATATGTTATGTTTATTATATGTGTAATGCGGCATTGTATGCCATGGATTGTAAGCCACACTGAGTCCCCCACTGGGGTGAGTATAAATGTAGTATAATACTAATAATAAAATAATAGTAAAGTGAGGTTCAATGAATGGAAAGAAATACAATACATTTTAAATTATGATTTAAGAGATGTGCAGGCTAAAAGCAAAGTTAAAAAGTGGAGGTTTTTTACACAATGTGTTATTTTAGTGGCAACATTCATCACTGGCACAAGGCTATTCATACTAGGATGGGAGGGAAGAGATGCTGAAAATCTGATGAAGAAAAAGGACAGATGACAAGGATAAAACAAGGCACAGAAGCCTTGCATAGGATTCCATGTTTGGGTTTTCAACCAGAACTGCCCACACATTAGCATGTGACTTGTTCAAAACAAGGGACATGGAATGTGGCATTTGAGGAGAACAAGAAAGTTGAAATTCATGTTTTATACACACTATTTGTATACAAAACTGACACAGACCGATTAGGCACACATATTCCAAATTGCCTTTCAATCTGTCACTGACAGACACCCTCTAAAATGAAGATAATAAACTGGACAGATGGCATAACTCTAGCTGTTATGCATGAACACCAATTTGACACACACCTTGTTTAATAATTTACTTTACAAATCTGCTCCTCTTTTATCTCATCCTGAGTTTTAACATTTTATCTTGCACATTCTCATTGTCATTGTGGATAGTGTATTTGTATATTGCCTATTTATTGTATTCATATGTTTTATGTATTTTACTGTGTTGTTGCTTGTGTTTTGGTTTTTATTTTATTTTAATTTACTGTTTGGGCTTGGCCTCATGTAAGCCACCCTGAGTCCCCATTGGGAGAGATGGTGGTGGGGTATAAATAAAGTTTATTATTATATTATTAGTTTCTAAAGCTGCAGAAAACAAGCCTGTTCCCTCTTCCTTATGACATCTTTCCCCATATTTATACATGGCTATCATGTCTCCTCTCAACCTTCTCTTCTGCAAGCTAAACAGACCAAGCTCTTTAAGACACTGCTCATAGGACATTGTCCTCCAGGCCTTTGATCGTTTTAGTTTCCCAGATGCCATATGTCCTGTATCTCAAAAACTAGAGCTGATAGGGGAAACTGGTACTATTTTGGGAATCAGCAGGTCAAATGTACTCAGAAACATTTGTGGCCCCAAAATGTGTATTGACCAGAGTAATCTAAATGGGAAGCCGCTTTGTGTGTGTTGAAATGCAACTGGGCTGCACCTCCTGAACCCTTTGGCTTCAGGTGCATGACTTGGCACTTTGGGGGAGGTTGTGCTAAAAGACTGTGGCCGAATGAAGAGGAGATGCCTCCCTTTGCCAGCCGATGGCATTGGCCTTTCCTGTCTACCCCTTGAGATGTCGTTGTCAACTGCTGTCATGACCCTACCGATGAGAGATCTCCAAGATACTCTGTTGTTAAAAACCCTGTTGGTTTCCTCAGTTGCGTCTTTCCACTTGCTGTGTGGCCTTCCTCTTTTCTGTTGTCTTCTGCTTTTCCTAGCATTTGCACCTTTTACAGTGAACCATGTTGCCTCATATGTCCAAAGCATATTGTTTCCAAAAGGTACCAAATCCATCTGAACAAATTGTATAGAAATTGAAAAAAAGTGCTGAGAATATGTATTCTTTTGTTAGAAAATACAGTTTTCTAAACCGTGTACCAAATGATTTGATAGTTGTCATCTGTGCATAATAATATTCTTAAAAAAGGCAAAGGTTCAACAGAAAGGAGGAAACCATGAAAATGAACAAAATCTGGCTACCAGTATTAAAAAAACTCTAAAATTACAACAGCACAACAACAGAGAGACATCTAACAAGGACATCTAATCACCTCTCAACAAAAGTTTGCTCCAGGCATTGTCAGGCCATTATATGCTAATTAGGGTGGTCAGTTGAAACATTCACACCTAGCTCCAGCAGACAAGAGTCTTTTGTCCCACCCTGGTCATTCCACAGATATATAAACCCTTTTTCCTAGTTCCAACAGGCCTCACTACCTCTGAGGATGCTTGCCATAGATGCAGGCGAAACGTCAGGAGAGAATGCCTCTAGACCATGGCCTTATAGCCCAAAAAAACCTACAACAACCCAGTGATTCCGGCCATGAAAGCCTTCGACAATACAAGGTAAAGGTTGTCCCCTGACATTAAGTCTAGTCATGTCTGACTCTAGGGTGTGGTGCTCATTTCTAAGCCGAAGAGCCGGCGTTGTCCATAGACACCTCCAAGGTCATGTGGCCAGCATGACTCCATGGAGCACCCTTGCCTTCCCTATTGATCTACTCACATTTGCATGTTTTCAAACTACTAGGTTGGCAGTAGCTAAGGCTGGCAGTGGAAGCTCATGCCGCTCCCCGGAATTAAAATTGCGACCTTTCAGTCAACAAGCTCAGCAGCTCAGCGCTTTAACCCACTGCACCACCGAGGGCTCCTCAATATTCTAATATTCTACTCCTAGCCAAATAAACATACCCGGTTCTTTAAGACACTCCTCATAAGGCATGGTCTCCGGTCCTCTGATCATTTTAGTCACCCTCCTCTGGACGCCTTCCAGCTTGTCAATACCTCTTTTCAACTGTGGTGCCCAGAAAACATAACCAAAGCCCTCCTGACAAAGGGCCATGCAGTCATTCCCACACACACATATATACGTATATGACAGATGCAGTATCATAGATTTGAAAGGGACCCCTAAAGAAGGACAATGATATGTTGTATGTTCCAGAGTAGGCAAACTAGACACTCTCCACATCAACACTGACAAAGAAACAGCAAGAAATACTGTTTACCCACAAGCAGAAAGACATTACATATATTAGAAACCAACACTTTCTCATTACTTTTCCAGATCACCAGACTGGGCCACAGCAACGCGTGGCAGGGGACCGCTAGTCCCATATACCAGTGGTTCTCAACCTGGGGTCCCCAGATGTTTTTGGCCTCCAATTCCCAGAAATCCTAACAGCTGGTAAACTGGCTAGGATTTCTGGGAGTTGCAGGCCAAAAACATCTGGGGACCCCAGGTTGAGAACCACTGCCATATACGTTTACACAGGAGTATGTATGACACACTGGACCCTGGGCAGTTTCCAATTCTGAGTGAACGGAGTTGGAAACTGACAAAGAAGCCGGAGAAGCTAGAAAAAGGCCTGTGGGCCTCAGGTCCTGAGGTGAAGCCGGGCCAGAGGGAGGAGAGGCGTCTCGAGGCCGGAAGGAGCGGGACTGGGGAGAAAGGCCCCGAGGAGGAACCAGGCAGCCGGGGAGGAGGAGGAGGCCCCACACCCGCCGCCCCTCTACCCACCGTGCCAATGCAGTCCGTCAGGTTTGGGGGCGGCGCCTTGGGCTTCGACTTGCCAAACAAGCGGTTCATGGCGGCGGCGGCACAGCGGGCAACAACACCAACAATAGGGGACCAGGAAGCTTTCGCCGGAACGCCGCTCCCCTCAGACCCGGAAGAGCCCGCCGCAGCTCAGCAGCCAATAGAAGAGCGGCAGGGGCGGAAGCGGATGTGAAGCTGCGTGAGGGCAGAAGAAGGCCCGCAGTACTTCCGCCCGGTCTTGAGGCAGAGGGGAAGAATCATAGAATCAGAGTTGGAAGAGACCTGATGATGATGATGATCATAGAATCAAAGAGTTGGAAGAGACCTCATGGGCATCCAGTCCAACATCCTGCCAAGAAGTAGAAATATTGCATTCAAATCACCCCTGACAGATGGCCATCCAGCCTCTGTTTACAAGCTTCCAAAGAAGGAGCCTCCAGCACACTCCGGGGCAGAGAGTTCCACTGCTGAACGGCTCTCACAGTCAGGAAGTTCTTCCTCATGTTCAGATGGAATCTCCTCTCCTGTAGTTTGAAGCCATTGTTTTGCGTCCTAGTCTCCAGGGAAGCAGAAAACAAGCTTGCTCCCTCCTCCCTGTGACTTCCTCTCACATATTTATACATGGCTATCATATCTCCTCTCAGCCTTCACCGATGATGACTTGGTGCGGCTTACATGAGGCCAAACCCACAGTACATCAATAACAAAAGCAATAACAAAAACAATCAATACAATACAATTAATATAAATCACATAAACAGTAAACAGTAACACACAAGCATTTAAAAATCTATGGCCGGGCCAAATGTAATAGTTTAAATGGGCCATCCAGTCCAACCCCCTCCCAAGAAGCAGGAAAACTGCATTCAAAGCACCCCCGACAGATGGCCATCCAACCTCTGGGTTGTTTATTTATTTATTTATTTGCTTTATTTGTATACCGCTGTTCTCAGCCCTTAGGCGAGTCACAGCGGTTAACAACAGAACAGCAAAAATTCGATACTACAATTTTGGTGTTGTTCATTAGTTCAGTCGTCTCCGACTCTTCGTGATCTCATGGACCAGCCCACGCCAGAGCTCCCTGTCGGCCGTCACCACCCCCAGCTCCTTCAAGGTCAAGCCAGTCACTTCAAGGATACCATCCATCCATCTTGCCCTTGATCGCCCCCTCTTCCTTTTTCCTTCCATTTTCCCCAGCATCATTGTCTTCTCTAAGCTTTCCTGTCTCCTCATGATGTGGCCAAAGTACTTCATCTTTGTCTCTAATATCCTTCCCTCCAGTGAGCAGTCGGGCTTTATTTCCTGGAGGATGGACTGGTTGGATCTTCTCGCAGTCCAAGGCACTCTCAGAACTTTCCTCCAACACCACAGTTCAAAAGCATCTATCTTCCTTCGCTCAGCCTTCCCTAAGGTCCAGCTCTCACATCCGTAGGTTACTACAGGGTATACCATGGCTTTGACTATGCGGATCTTTGTTGCCAGTGTGATGTCTCTACTCTTTACTATTTTATCAAGATTGGACATTGCTCTCCTCCCAAGAAGTAAGCGTCTTCTGATTTCCTGGCCACAGTCTGCATCTGCAGTCATCTTTGCACCTAGAAATACAAAGTCTGTCACGGCCTCCACATTTTCTCCCTCTATTTCCCAGTTGTCAATCATTCTTGTTGCCATAATCTTGGTTTTTTTGATGTTTAGCTGCAACCCAGCTTTTGCACTTTCTTCTTTCACCTTGATTAGAAGGCTCCTTAGCTCCTTCTCGCTTTCGGCCATCAGAGTGGTGTCATCTGCATATCTGAGGTTGTTAATGTTTCTTCCAGCAATTTTCACCCCAGCCTTGCATTCCTCAAGCCCCGCACATCGCATGATGTGTTCTGCATACAAGTTAAAAAGGTTGGGTGAGAGTATGCAGCCTTGCCGTACGCCTTTCCCGATCTTGAACCAGTCTGTTGTTCCGTGGTCAGTTCTGACTGTTGCTACTTGGTCCTTGTACAGATTCCTCAGGAGAGAGACAAGGTGGCTTGGGATGCCCATCCCACCAAGAACTTGCCACAATTTATTATGATCCACACAGTCAAAGGCTTTAGAGATACTACAATAACACGGTATAAAACAGTTAACATAACACCTTATACAATAATATACAATTAACAACAATAGCCATTCACTAGCATCTCATCACTAAAAACATGATCCAGATCCGTCATCCATTGTTCCATTCCTATGTTCATTACACTCATTGCACTGACTATTCGAACGCCTGCTCAAACAACCAGGTCTTCACTTTTTTGCGGAATACCATTCATGATGGAGCTAGTCTAATATCCGTGGGAAGGGCGTTTCACAGCCGAGGGGCCACCACCGAGAAGGCCCTATCTCTCGTCCCTGCCAGCCGTGCCTGAGAGGCAGGCGGGATCGAGAGCAGGGCCTCCCCGGAAGATCTCAAAGTCCTGGTGGGTTCATAGGCAGAGATGCGGTCGGATAGGTATCTTGGGCCGGAACCGTTTAGGGCTTTAAAGGTCAACGCCAGCACATGATCTTGTTGTAGGTTTTTTCGGGCTGTATGGCCATGGTCTAGAGGCATTCTCTCCTGACGTTTCGCCTGCATCTATGGCAAGCATCCAAAGGATGCTTCAAATAATTATGAAGTATACTTAGTACAGTGTTTCTCAACCTTCCTAATGCTTCAACCCCTTAAGACAGTTCCTCATGTTGTGGTGACCCCCAACCATAACATTTTTGTTGCTACTTCATAACTGTAATTTTGCTACTGTTATGAATCGTCATGTAAATATCTGATATGCAGGATGTATTCACTGGACTAAATTTGGCACAAATACCCAATACGCCCAAATTTGAATACTGGTGAGGTTGGGGGTGATTGATTTTGTCATTTGGTAATGCTGGAGTTGCTGGGATTTATAGTTCACCTAAAATTAAAGAGCCTTCTGAACTCCACCAATGATGAAATTGAATCAAACCTGGCACACAGAATTCGCATGACCAAGAGAAAATACTGGGAAGGTCTGGTGGACATTGACCTTGAGTTTTTGGAGTTGTAGTTCACCTACATCCAGAGAACACTGTGGACTCAAGCAATGATGGATCTGGATCAAACTTGGCACAAATACTCAATATGCCCAAATGTGAACACTGGTAGAGTTTGGAGAAAATAGACCTTGCCATTTGGGAGTTGTAATTGTTGGGATTTATAGTTCACCCACAATGAAATAGCATTCTGAACCCCACCAACGATAGAATTGGACCAAACTTTCCACACAGAACCCCCCATGACCAACAGAAAATACTATGTTTTCTGATGGTCTTTGGCGACCCCTCTGACACCCCCTCGCGACCCCCACAGAGGTCCCGACCCCCAGGTTGAGAAACACTGCTCTAGACCACAGCCACACAGCCCAAAAAAACCTACAACAACCCAGTGATTCCGACCATGAAAACCTTCGACAATACATCATTCAGCCTCTGTTTAAAAGCTTCCAAAGAAGTAGCCTCCACCACACTCCAGGACAGAGAGTTCCACTGCTGAACGGCTCTCACAGTCAGGAAGTTCTTCCTAATGTTCAGACAGAATCTCCTTTCTTGTAGTTTGAAGCCATTGTTCCACGTCCTAGTCTCCAAGGAAGCCGAAAACAAGCTTGCTCCCTCCTTCCTGTGACTTCCTCTCACATGTTTATACATGATCATCATGTCTCCTCTCAGCCTTCTCTTCTGAAGGGTAAACATGCCCGCTCCTCACAGAGCTTGTTCTCCGCACACAAAGCAGTGATTGCAGGAGACTTCTGCATGCTTTGGGGAAAACCAGTCTCAGCTTCTTATTAAACTCTGGGTCCCGATCCCAAATGGGGCTCCCTTAGCTTAATGTTCAGGTGATGAAAATCACCCCATGACTCTTTTAGACATTTACACAAATCTGTTGTGCAGTTTACAACCGATGCTGCAGGTTGTACTTCACAAAAAGGAAAATCTCCTTGCATTGTCGAAGGCTTTCATGGCCAGATTCACTGGGTTTTTTAGGCTATATGGGTATGTTCTAGACGTTTGCAAGCTTGGTAGTTGATTAAATGTCCTTTGACCAGTATCTGGCCACTTGGAGTGCCTCTGGTGTTGCTGCAAGAAGGTCCTCCATTGTGCATGTAGCAGGGCTCAGGGTGCATTGCAGCAGGTGGTGTGTAGTTTGCTCTTCTCCACACTCGCATGTCGTGTTTGTTATATTCTAGAGGCATTCTCTCCTGACATTTCGCCTGCATCTATGGCAAGCATCCACAGAGGTAGTGAGGTCTGTTGGAACTAAGAAATATCTGTGGAATGACCACGGTGGGACAAAGGACTCTTGCCTGCTGGAGCTAGGTGTGAATGTTTCAAGTGACCACCTTAATTAGCATTGGAGCCCCTGGTGGTGCAGTGGGTTAAACCCCTGTGCCAGCAGGACTGAAGACCGACAGGTTGCAGGTTCGAATGCAGGGAGAGCACGGATGAGCTCCCTCTATCAGCTCCAGCTCCTCATGCAGGGACATGAGAGAAGCCTCCCACAAGGATGATAAGCCATCAAAACACCCGGGTGTCCCCTGGGCAACGTCCTTGCAGACAGTCAATTCTCTCACATCAGAAGCGACTTGCAGTTTTTCAAGTCGCTCCTGATAAAGACAAAAAAAAGAGGATTTGATGTCCTGGTAGTGCCTGGGGCAATCTTTTGTTGAGAGGTGATTAGATGTCCCAGATTGTTACATCTCTGTTGTTTTGCTGTTGTAATTTTCTCCTCCGTGCCCCCCCCCCCATGACTCTGGAACGCATTACCCACCGAGATTAGACTAGCCCCCACCTTAGAAACTTTTAAGAACTTTTAAGAAGTGCCTTTTCCATTGCACTTTTATGGAGTGATTTCACATCTCCTTTGTCATGCTCCTCTATAATGGGTTTATATTGTATTGTCTCCTGACTGTATGAAGGATTGCCTCTATTATTCCGTTCATGAGTCTCCCTTACAAATATATAGGTTTTTATTTTTATCTCATCCTGAGTTTTTATCATTGTATCTTGCACATGTGGCCCGCTCATTGTGATTGAGTTATTTTTCTATTGTATTACTTTGCACTGTTTGTTATATTCTATGCTTGCTTTATTTTATCTTATTATGAT